GAACATGTGCATAGGCTATGCAACCAAAGATTTTAAAGAAATCAACCATTGGCTTAAACCCATGCCATGCTTTAAAAGGAGTCATATCCTTGACAGACTTGGTAGGTGACCTGTTGAGAATAAACACTGAGGTATGAATTGCTTCAGCCCAAAACACATTTGGCAGACCTTTTGCTTTTAACATGCTTCTTGCCATTTCCACAATGGTTCGATTTCTTCGTTCCGCAACACCGTTTTGTTGTGGAGTGTAGCTTGCCGTCAATTCTCTTTTTATTCCATTGCTTTTGCAAAATTCTGAAAATTCATTTGATGTGAATTCTCCACCACGATCAGTTCTCAATGTCTTGAGATTGTATCCACTTTGTTTCTCTCCTTAGGCTTTAAATTGCTTGAAAAAAGAGAATGCTTCTGACTTTTGTTCTAGAAAATAAACCCACATCATCCTGCTATAGTCATCAACAAAGAGAAGAAAGTATTTCTTGCCATTAAAAGATGGTGTTCAAGTCGGCCCGCATATATCTGCATGTACCAACTCAAGAGGGGCTCTTGCTTTCCATGTTGATTGTGAAAATGGTAAGCGGTGGAATTTTCCAAAAATACAACCTTCACATATTGCTTTCTCAGACTGAATAGAAGGAAGGCCAACCACCATATCTTTCTTATGTAAGAGCTGTAGACTTCTTTGATTTAGATGTCCGTATCTCATATGCCACAAGTGTGATTCTTCTACATTTTCAGCTTTCAAAACATAGTTTTCTTTTGATGTCATGATCAACGGAAAGACTTTGTTTGCCATCATTTTTATCTTAGCCACTACAATGTTATTCTTTTTATCAGAAATAACACAGTGATCATCATCAAATTTAACAGAGAAGCCTTTTTGTAGGAGTTGTCCTACACTTAATAAATTTTGTGCCAAGTTAGGAACATATAGCACATCATAGATTAGTTTTGGTGTACCTTCTCGAGTTTGAACTGAGATAATACCTTTGCCTTTCACGTTGTGAAGCTTTCCATCTCCCAGCTTGACTTGTGAATTCACATTTTCTTCAAATTTGACAAAACATTGTCTGTTTCCTGTCATGTGGTTACTGCATCCGTTATCCACGTACCATATATCTTGTGGTTCTTGACGAGCGCTGAGACATGTATAAAATAGTTGCTCTGGAGAGTCATTATTTTCTGTGAAATTGGCTTCATTATTTTTCTAATATCTGCAATCTCTTTGAGAATGGTTGGGTATTCTGCATCGGGTACACCTATACCAACAATCTGCACTTTTGTGCCCAGTCTTCTTACAAACACGACATTCAGGGACAAGGTTACCATTCTGGTTGTTTTGATGGCTACGTCCTTGCTGATTGTTGTTGTTATAGTTGCCTTTGTTGTGATTCTTCCGCCAATGAGATTCTCCTTTACTTTTTTTTGTTTTGGGACTTTTGAGATTCTCCTTTTTGTTTGTCTTCTTTCTCCTTCGAATCCAACTTGGATTGAAAAGCTTGCTCCAAGGAGTGGTCTGTAGACCTATTAATCCTTTTTTCATGTGCTTCCAATGAACCAATTAGTTCATGGAGCGAAAATGCAGCGAGATCTTTTGACTCCTCTATTGCTGCAACAACATGATCGAACTTTGGCGGTAGACTACGTAGAGTTTTCTCTACAATTTTCTTGTCTAGAATTGTATCCCCATAACTTCTAATTTGGTTAACAATTCCAGAAACTTTTGTGAAGAAAACCTGAATGGACTCATTCTCCTTCATTAATAAATTATCAAACTCTCGCCACAAGGATTGGAGTTTGATGGAGATCACTTTCTGTGAGCCTTGGAACTCAATTTTGAGTATTTCCCAAGCATTTTTCGATGTCGTAGCAGAAAGTAATCTTGGAAAGAGATTTTTGCTTATTCCCTGTTGAATTAGGAATAAAGCCTTGGCATCTCTTTTCTTATTTTCTTTAAGTGCTTGCTGTGATTCCGGTGTCGCTTTTCCCGTCGAAGTTTTTTCCAGTTCCTCGTAACCATCTTCTACAAGATCCCAAAGATCTTGAGAGACGAACAAGGTCTTCATTTGTAGGCTCCAATATTCATAATTCTCTCCATCGAAAATAGGCATTAAATTTTGAATATTTCCAATGGTTGAGGAATTTGAACTTGATGCCATGATTAACACAGCGGAGGGATCTATTAGCTCTTGATACCAAATTTGTTGGAGAAAGATGGATAAGAGAGAATATGGAAGAGAGTTTTAAACAGAAATACTGAAGCTTTATTGATTTCCTAAAAACTGATTACAACACTAGGCCATCTTATTGGCTATTTATAATAATATTCAGATCTTTTCATAACAGACATAACTCTTGGATTAGTTCCAAGAGTTGCAGACACAACTCTTGACTTCTAAAGAGATACAACTCTTCTTAAACAAAACTCTTCTTCAAGAGATACAACTCTACTTTAATAACTGATACAAATGCATTACGTTTAACACTTTGGGACTCATGCGATAATGTGGTCGATTGGGCAAAGTCGAACCAGGCACTATGTCAATTTGGTGCTGTATTTCTCGAAGTGGAGGTAAACCACTGGGAAGCTCACTTGGAAATATATCTTGGAACTCTGCAATCAGACCTTGGGCTGCTTCTGGGATGCCATGTTGTTTTTCACATTCTTTTCCAATCAACACATAAACAATCCCTGATTTTTTAATCTCATCACTGAACTGTCTCCTTGTTAATAGAGTATTAGTTTCCACAGTTATTGATGGCTTGGAAACAATCTCCTTATTGGGAAATAAGACAAGTCTGGTCTTGCCAATCAAAAAGCTATATGTATTCTTCTTTCCATCGTGAATTGCACCCCTGTCATATTGCCACGGCCTCCCCAACAAAATATGGCACGCGTCCATAGTGATAACATCACACCACACTTGATCTTGGTATTTAGTACCAATGGAAAAAGAAACTAAACAGCGTCTTGAAACACTTACGTCATTTTATTTCTTTAACCATGATAATTTGTAAGGATGAGGATGCTTCTTTGTCTCCAATCCGAACTTTTGAACTGCCTCTTCAGCAACTACATTTTCACAGCTACCAGAGTCAATAACAAGTCGACAAACCTTGCCCCCAATTGTGCATGTGGACTGGAAAATATTATTACGAAGCCTTGAATCACCATCAGCTGCTCGTGGAGTGAGACAAACCCTTCAAACCACTAATAAAGGACCATTATCACCATGAACATGTTCTTCTTCAAAATCGTCATAATGGCTATCAAACTTGGGGTCTTGTTCAATATTATATTGCTCGTCTGTTGGTGTGTCTTCACTGTCAATGAATAATCCCTTCCCGTACCGATCTCCCTTCTTGCAGTCAGCCATTCTATGCCCAGGTTCACCACATTTAAAACAGCGTGTTGCAGCTCCACTGGTTCCGCTAACAGCTGTACGGGTAGGTGGAGGGTTTACTGGTGGTTATCCAGTTGGTGCTTGAGAATTGACACTTCGAGACTGAATTGGGGATGAGGTATTCTAGCGATTACTACCACTACCTTGCATTCCTGGCTTTCTATTCATTTGCTTTTCTAATTGCAAAGCTCGCTGGTGTGCTTCAGAAACAGAAATAGGATCAAATAAATTCAATGAATCTTGAAATTGAATTCTCATATACATCCAATATAGCGAGATACCAACTGATCTTCAGACTCTCCCAAATCAATACGGGCAATCAATTGATAGAAGTCTGTTGTGTATTCATCGACAGAGCGAGAACCTTGCCGCAAGTTCTGGAGTTGTTGATACAATGTTCTGGAATAATTGTGTGGAAGGAAGGTGGATCACATATACTTTAGCAATTTTTCCCACGTATCAATTTTCTGCTTTCCCTTTCGGACTCAAGCTTGCTTCAGTTGCTGCCACCATGCAGCCGCTCTGCCTCGAAATCGAGTAGCCACTAAGGGAACCCGCTTGTCTTGTGGCACATCTTTGAAATCCAAAACTTCTTTTATTATTATGAATATTTAAAATTGAAAATAACCTAACAAAAAGTAGTAAAAGTTAAATATTTAACAATAATACTATAGATCAACTCACTGGATTGTCTGGAATTCATGAGATGGACTTTAAGGAATACATATTTCTATTATTTGCGTGTTTACTGTTGTAAACAAATCATTGCAGTTGTAAATACATACTGCAACACATGTGTTTAAATAAATATAATAACATGAGTTGTAATTTCTCCACCAAACTCAGTTAATTAGTTTCTAATTACTCATGGAAAAAAACATGAATGTTTCAAAAGCTTAAATTTTTTTATGCAACACATGTGTGTTTACTGTGGACATTAACATTTGCATATGTCTCATTCAGACCCAAAAAAAGAAAAAAAAACGTGCATATATCTCATAGGTTGCTCAGAGGACCCAAACGAATAAAAAAACAAAAGCAAAGGAAGCAAACAAACCTGGCCCCTTAATTGTTGTCATACTATTACGTTATTTTTTATATATTAATCTACTTTCTGGTATGCGTCTCGATCCTTGCCTATATATACACGATTGTACAAGCATTGTGATCTACACCGACTAAGCTTTCCCTTCCCTACGAAAAAAAAAGCATGCAAACTATGTCTGTCCAAGTTGGTTCAGCAGCTCAACCACAAAATGCTAAGCCAGATGAAATTGCTCGTAGGACAGCAAATTTTCACCCAAGCATTTGGGGAGATCAGTTCATCAATTATGATGATTCACAATACTTGGTATGTAATGGATATCATTCATGCGCATATCATAGATTACTTTTTATAACTCTTCTGGCACAAATGCTATGAATCTAATTCACATATTTATGATGTTCGTTTGATTGTGTGGTTTAGATTCATAATTTGCCAACGAAAGTCTTTCGCAAGAGAGCATTACTCTTTCTCATTAACTATATGCAGGTTATTTCAATTTTATAAAAACTTTTTCAACATGTTTTTACTCATTTCATTTGTCTCTGCAGATAACTCACGCTCATAAGCAAGGACAGGTTGACGAACTGAAAGAAGTTGTGAGGAGGGAAGTATTCACAACTAGTGCAGGTGATCTTTCACATCAGCTCAAACTAATCGATGCAATCCAGCGCCTTGGCGTGGCATACCATTTCGAAAGAGAAATAGAAGAAGCACTGGAACGCATGCATAATACACTTCATGACCATGACAGTGATGATGATGGTGATCTATACAATGTTGCTCTTTGTTTTCGACTACTCAGACAACATGGACATAATGTTTCATGTGGTACGTTTTATAGAAATTAATTGATATACTTGTGGAGTGTGGTGTGAGAGACTTTGGGCTACTATATTCTAGTTCTTATCTTTTTGTCCATTTTTTGACCATCAAAACCAGATATATTCAACAAGTTCAGAGATGAAAATGGTAGCTTCAAGGAAAGCTTAATTGCTGACGTGTCTGGCATGCTAAGCTTTTATGAAGCAACACATCTGAGGGTGCATGGAGAAGATATACTAGAAGAGGCTCTCACTTTCACCACCACTCACCTTGAGTCCGCAACAACCCGAGTAAGCAATCCATTGGCTGCACAAATAACTCAGGCCTTAGAGAGACCTCTGAGAAAAAGTCTAGAGAGATTAGGTGCCAGGCGTTACATATCGATCTACCAAGACGAAGCTTCACATAATGAGTGCTTGTTGAAACTTGCCAAGTTAGATTTCAATCTTGTTCAGCCTTTACACAAAAAGGAGCTACAAGAGATTACTAGGTAATATAATGAAGTCTCTCTTTTAATTATATCTGTGTGCATGACATGAGGGATCTACTTTGCAAAGTTCAATTTGGGATTAATATATTTACATATAAATGTTTAGGTGGTGGAGAGCACTAGACTTTGAAAGGAAGCTGCCATTTGCAAGAGATAGGATGGTGGAGTTGTACTTCTGGATAGTGGGAGTGTATTTTGAGCCTCAGTATTCTGTGGGGAGAAAAATTATGACCAAAGTGAGTGTCTTGCTAACGATATTGGATGATATCTACGATGCATTTGGCACATTTGAAGAACTAGTGATCTTTACCGAAGCAATTGACAGGTTAATAATTTGAAACGAACAATTAATTCTTGCTGTTTTTGTTAGAGAATATTCATTTAATTTGTCTCAAAACTCTCCTACTTTAATTATCTGTTTCAGGTGGGATCTCAATTGCAGTAATGAACTCCCTGACTACATGAAAATATTTTACCAAGAACTCTTGAATCTTTTCAATGAAATTGAGGAGGAGATGGTCAAGGAAGGAAGATCATACCGAGTTCCTTACGCGATACAAGCTGTATGTAAAACATGATATACGCACAACTTAAATTGCTTTCAAAATAAAGTACACTTTCGTTCTTGCGCAATTGATCATTTTTCACTGGTATATATGCCTCAGATGAAAGATCAAGCTCGATCCTATTTCAATGAGGCCCGGTGGCTCCACGAAGGACGAATTCCAAGCATGGAGGAGTATATGAGTGTTGCAACGGTTTCTATAAGTTACACCTTCCTTACAACCATCTCTTTACTTGGCATGGGAGATATTGTAACGAAGGAGTCATTTGAGTGGTTGCTCAATGACCCCAAAATTGTCAGAGCTGCAAACACCATTTTCAGGCTAATGGATGACATTGTTTCGACCAACGTATGTATAAATTATAGTAATTATGTACACGCATATGATCCGAAAAGACATTAATTTTGGATTTTATTTTTTCAGTTTGAGAAAGAAAGAGGGCATACTGCTTCCAGTGTTGATTGCTACATGAAGCAATATGGGGTCTCAGAGCAAGAGACAGTTGATGTTTTTAAGAAACAAATTATGGATTTGTGGAAGGACATAAACGAGGAGTTTCTCCGACCAACTGCTGTGCCGATGCCTGTGCTTAAGCGGGTTCTTAATTTAACACGAGTGGCTGATCTTCTTTACAAGGGGGAAGATGGCTTCACACGTGTTGGGAAGGTCACGAAAGATAGTGTTGCTTCAGTCTGTATTAATCCTGTGCCGCTGTGAGTTGGATAAGATGGGCTTTTGTACATGCATGGATTTGATTGTCTTTTTTAGGGAAGGGGGTGTTGGGCCCGCCAAGTTTGTTTGGAATAATGTGTGTATCTTCTTATAGATATGTTTGGCCAGACGAAGTTCAACCATTTAATCATTTTCAATAAAGAAATGTCAGTTCTTGAGTTTTGATTTATCTGTTTTCTTTAATCATTTTCAAAATACTGGGTCCCTCCTCAGTTTCTCTAGAGCATAATGTGTCTTTCACTTCTATAAAAATTACGCAATAAATTACGAAGTTCAATTGTGGTCTCAGAATGAATTATCATAACTCTACTCAAATCTTGAAGGATTCTATGCTCAAATGACCCAAAATAAAGTTCACTATGCAAAAATAGATATGATTGTTATTTTTTGAATAGAGGAAGATCATTATACCTTCATCTCAGTCATCCCAGTCCGCACTGTTTATTCATGTAGAAAAAAATAAAATCATCTTTAGCAAAATTGTTAGTTTTCTAATTTACAAAGTGAAAGTATCAATTTTGAATAATGGTTTTTATTTTGGTTAATATTACGAAGTGGTTGGAGCTCAAACCACCTGCCACCAACATGTTAAGGTGCTGAGATAGAGTTAGGCCTAATCTACGAAGGACAACTATATTAGTGATTTATCTGAGTTCTTTGGCGTTTCATAATGTACTCAAGTGTCACTTGTTATGCCCATGTATCTCTAACTCAAGTGTCACTTGTTATGCGAAAGGAAAATAATTTCCTAAGAAGCCTTTGGCCAGTAACTAATCCACCTTCAAGTCAAGAACATCTTTTACATCCTCAACTTTTACAGAAGCCTCTCCGCCCATTCCTTGGTTGAGGGTATTTTGACGATATAGGAGTGTAAAATGTGATTCCATTAAGGATGTCACATCCTTTTTGTAATATGTTGTTGATTATGAATATACAGTGGGAATGTGGAAATGAAATAAAAAAAACAATATTAAATACAGTCGATGCTTCCACAAAAACCCAAAAAACAATATATTGTGTCATACTAGAGAAGTAGACACAAAAACCCAAAAAACAATATTAAATACAAACTCAATAAAGAATTCGGTAGGCTACCACCGAAAAACTGAAACGAATTCGGTAAACTGCCACTAAGAAACGACAACAATTTCGGTGGTAACCCATAGATAATACTCCATAGATATCCTTTTATAATTACCATGCTAGAAAGATGAAAAATCACTTATCATCCTAAATAAGCAATGTCAAATGGACGCTAAGTAGACAAGAACTATAAGACGAAAAGGCCAATAATCTATAGTACTATGTTTTTTTTTTGGGTCAAAAACCTATAGTCCTATATACACCAAGTCCTGTACTCTTTCTCTCAATTCTAAGAACATCACTCTGTTATAAAAACCAACCTCTTCTATTGTTGTCTATTGTTCAGGAGCGGTCCTACGTTTTGAAAGCTGTAGGTGAACAACTTAAATGGGGTCTCTCTACCCTATATGTATAAATTGCAATCGCCAAGCCATACGATACAAATGGAAAAGGAAAAGATGCAATTGGATTCTGTTAAGCAATTTCCCTACACGATTACTAACTCCTTATCTGGTAATTGCAAGATACCGTGAAGAGTTTAGTCACTAATTTATGCAGGAACGATTAATATTGTTTGATGACAGTGTTAGTTGAAGCTTTAGAAACATAATATTATCCAAAAGAAAAAATAAATAAATTTGAATAATATGATGATCATCAATATCCTAATCAGAAATATAATATATTAACTTAAAAGAATTGTTAATTTGAATAGGCAGTCTCACAACAATTGTTAATTTTGTTCAAAGGACCCAAAAGAATAAAAAAAAACAAAAACAAAGGTGCATATATCTCATTCAGACCCACACAAAGAAAGGTGCATATATCTCATAGGTTGCTCAAAGGACCCAAAAGAATAAAAAAAAACAAAAACAAAGGAAGCAAACAAATCTTGCTGATTACCATGGCGGCCTGGCCCCTTAATTGTTGTCTTACGTGAGACAGCAATTAAAAACAATCCCATTCAAAGAACCTGAGACAACAGTTGCATATTAATCTACCGTCTCCTCCCTCTCTTTTCCACCGTACTATTTTTCTCATCCGCCAATCAAGAAATCAAAGGAATCTCAAATTTTGAGTCAAAATCCTAAAATTCTTTGAAATTAAATTTTACTATCAAATAAACACATGTACAAAATTTTAAAATTGAAATTAGTTCTAGAAACAATATTTTTCTACAACAACAGATTTTTTTTTCTTGAAATTTAAATTCCAGTTCTATCAAATCAATTAGCATAGTGATTAAATTGAGAAAAATAAATCACCCTAACCAAAATTGAAATCAGTAAAAACAATATAACCGAACGAGAAAGAACGAAAGAGCACAAAAACAACCAGGACCATGTTAGCAACTACAAAAACATAACCCAACGAAAAATTATATGATCTTTCTAGAATGTAAGTTATATGATCTTTGTGAGTCTCTTTGTATTTCTTCATTCAATAGTGAAAATACCCAACACCCCCTTGGACGTAGCCCGATTATGGGTGAACCACGTAATCTCTTGTGTTGTTTGATCAAATGTTCTTGCTTAATTTCTATTCACAAGTGCAATCCCTAAGCACTAGAACTCGTTCTAGGGGACGACCCTCTTGGTGATGCCAAGTTGATTTGGAAGGATTGCGGACCTCGATCTCGAAGAGGCCATTTTTTTGTTGAACCAAATTTAGACATCAACAATATATATACAACTTTTTTTTTTCTCCTTTAAGAAATAACGAACTCTTCTGAAAAATCTCACTTCAACTCAATTTTCTTCAAGTGTCATAAACCTAAAAAACTTGAGCTCTAAATGATCATTTTGTAACTTCAATTTGTTCAATTTTGATCTATATAACTTAAAAAGAATCCAAATTGTACAAAATTTAGTATAAGTGAGACTTTACCAACGCATTCGTTCACACTATATAGAGAATTTGTAAATATATATAGTTGTCCTCTGGACATAAAGAAAGGGCGCGTCGAGCAAATATTACACTGACTCAATTTTCTTTAATTACTTTTGATCCCACTAATTGAATGGTTGATTTGTTAGGATGTAGAATGACTTTAGGTTTCTCGTCTGGTTAATCACTTAGATATGGGGGTTGAAGTCTCAGGTTTTGGGTTGTCTAAAAGAACTTTTAATATCCTAAATAATCAATCATGTTAATAAATAAGATAAAAGTTCAATAAAATTAAGTAAAAGTGAGGTTTTTCCTCAATGCATCATGTTTTTAAAGAACACGGAATGTCCTGTATAGAAAAGCTTCAGTGCCAATGTGTCTGGCATGCTAAGCTTGTACGAAGCAACACATCTAAGGGTGCATATGGAGAAGATATACTAGAAGAGGCTCTTGTTTTCACCACCGCTCACCTTGAGTCCAAAATAACCCATGTAAGGTATTCACTGGCAACACAAATAAGTCAAGCGTTGGACAGACCTCTGCTAAAATGTCTAGAGAGGTTAGGTGCCAGGAATTACATGTCAATCTACCAAGACGAAGCTTCGCATAATGAAACTCTACTAAAACTTGCAAAGTTAGATTTCAATCTTGTTCAGTCTTTGCACAAAAAGGAGCTCAGTGATATGTAGTTTGCAAGGTATAAAATTCATACTAATTATTAGCTATACATGTTCAGGTGGTGGAAAGAAGTAGACTTTGAAAGGAAGTTGCCTTTTGGAAGAGATTGTGGAATTGTACTTTTGGACAACGGCAGAAAAATTCTAAACAAAGTCATTGCCCTGGGAACAGTGATGGATGATATATACGATGCATTTGGTACCTTCAAAGAACTCGAGATCATTACAGAAGCAATTAGGAGGTTTGAAATAATCACGTTCCTTCTTTTTCTTATTTAAGATATTTTTCTTCTATTTATTTTGCAGAACTCCTACAATTGATACACTTAAAATGATTATGGTTGATGCAATTTTCAGGTGGGATGTCATGATCAATTGCATAGATGAACTGCCAGACTATATGCAAATATTTTATCAAACACTTTTGAATCTCTTAAATTAAATTGAGGATGAGATGGTGAAGCAAGGAAATGCATATATACCGAGTTTACTATGCAAAAGAAGCTGTAGTACATTCATAGTTAGCTTAGCTTTTACTTTTAATATATTGTATATCAATGATATTTTACACTTCTTTCTCTCAAACTATATCGAAGTTTACTTGTTATCGCTTGTTTAGCATATGTCAAATGCAGTGGAAAGATACAGCAAAGCTTACATTGATAAGGCCAGATGGTTACACGAAGGATATGCGTCCCAGGCATGGAGGAGTATATGCATGCTGCAACAGCTTCTGTTGGCAACAACTTACTTTCAAACATATCTTTACTTGGCATGGGAGATATTGTAACCAAAGAGGCATTTGAGTGGTTATCCAATGACCCGAAAATTCTAAGAGCTTCGAATATCATTTTAAGGCTCCAAGGTATAAGAAGATACTTGTAATTACGTTGAAGATTAACTAAATGCTTTGGATTCTATACTTTTGCAGTTTGAGAAAGAGAGTGGATATGTTGCTTCTTGCATTGATTGCTATATGAAGCAACATGGAGTCTCAGAGCAAGAGACACTTGATGATGTTTTCAACAAACAAGTTGTGGAAGGATATAAACGAGGAGCTCCTTATAAGACCAACTGATGTGCCAAGGCCAGTCCTCATGCGCACTCTCAACTTAACAAGAGTAGTGGATCTGCTTTATAAAAGGGGAGAGGCTTCAACACATGTTGGAAAAAAAATGAAGGATACGGTGACTTCCCTTTTTATTGATCTTTGTAATTTATTCCTACCTCAATAATCACAGAAAATGTCATTTTATTCTATATCAAAACAAGTACAAAACACGAGAATGTATTTGGGCCAGACCAAACTCCAATTTGAAGAACATGCGAATTCTCGACTAATTTATTTTATAACATAACCTTCATGCACATATATGCATGATTTCTGAATCATATGGCAAACCAAAATTTAGTTTATTATGCAATGTTGGACTTTGAAAGCAAATGCAATGCGTTTTGTGCCACATCAACAAACCCCTCTCTTTTTTTTTCTTTTTTTTTATAAAAAATTTAAATTTTATAGGTTTTATAAGCAAAGCTCCTTTATCCTTTACTAAGTATGGCCTGGATAATAAGTGGTGGGCTTGTTGGGCTTCGCTATGAACATTAAAGTTATAAGACGCAATTCATGATCCAAGAACTTAAACTTCATCAACACCTTAGAAATCCTAATAAGTGCATTTTGATAAATAAATTAAAAAAACCTACAACACATGCATGTGGCTAGGAATTGTGGAAATGGTCAAGTTGGTGAACAAAGCCCATGATATGGAGATAACCTAATTCTGGCTGGAGGGAAAGCGACTTAGTGTTAAGTGCATGTATTTTGAGTTTTTCTTTTGGCTTCCCTTGACAATATTGTAATAGGACATACATACTCAAGCTCAAGTTTAGATTAAGAATAGTTTCTCTAAGTGTTCTTATCTGGCTGCTATCTTATGAAAGATCAATCATATTGGCAAAGGTAATTTGTGCATTGCATCATATTGCATTCATTAGATTTCTTAAGATTATCACTAGTCATCTTGTTTTCGTATGACTAGTCATCCTTTGCATCTGTAGGATTTTCAGCTGGATCCTAACAAACCTTTTTGTCCTATTCTGCGAATTTTTTAAGCTTCCATGTGTACTATTCTAACCTAGAAATTTTTGGGTAAAAGCGCAGTCGTCAATTCTTGAGGGAAGTTTCTGAAAATGTTTTTTCGTTTCCTTTTGCTCTCTTTCTTCCTCAAGAGAAAACCACCATTTTCATCTATGAGTTTTCTAAATTGATTTTTTGAAAATTGATTTTGAAATATGAAATCTGCATCTAGCTAGAATAAATACATTCTCATATTCATCTAGGTCATATTCAAGATTGGTTTCTTCAAGAGTATGATTTCTTAAAGAATTGGTCATTTTTCCTTGAATCCAAATTTTGGTTTTGTATGAGTTTGAGCTAGCTAGCTGGTGCCATGGGATGAAAGAGCTGAAGAATGAGCTGCTATTGCCACGAAGGACTAAGCTGCAAGAATTGCTAAGTTGGAGAAAAAGGAAGGATAGCTTATCTTCCTAAATAGATCTAGGATTTCTTGAGCTTGCTTGTGTTTCTTTGTAAGAATCTTCTTTGGTTAGTGGATTGCCTGGTCGGTTGATGATCCTCATTTTTTCCTAGTGGTGGGTTTATAAGTGAACAATTTCTAGTTCGCAGCTTCGTTATTTTCTGGGTTTGTGTTCTTGATAGTTGACTAATCATCGCATGATGTTCATGCCTTTCTGGGTTTGTGTTCTTGCGATTGACTAGTCATCATCATCTGATGTTTGCTATTTGTTGTTTTTTGATTATGATGTTTTCATACACTTTCATCATAGTTATTGTAGCACAGTGGATGCTTAGATTGACAAGTCCTTTTGAGGGCCTAGGTTGTCACTAGTAATTTTCTAGGCTTGCAAGTATAGATTGTTATGCTCTGTGTGTATAGTCATAAGTATATTTGGTCAATGTTTAAAGTATGTGAAGATTGTTGTGTTTGTTTGAATAGCATTTAAATTTACTCATCGTCACCTAAGTACCAATTTCAATTGGTATCAAAGCGTTAGCTCTTAACACAAAATAGAGAGATCTTAGGATTTGTTTGGTGTTTAGGTGTACTCACTATGGAAAGGGAACGAGTTGTAGGAATTGTAACTCCCCCCATTTCTTTGATGGAAATAATTATGCTGCATGGAAAGAAAATTTTGAGATATTCATGGATGCTCTTGATGAGTATGCAAATGAATATCTCACAAAAGAGTGGATACCTTCAGTCAAGACTATTGAGGGAAAAGTTGTGCACAAACCTTGGTCGGAATGGACTGAAACTGAGTCATTTGCTGCACATTCCAACAAGAATGCTAGAAATTCCTTAGTTTCTGCCTTGTCTAGCATACAGTTCTCACACATACAACACATTCCTAATGCTATGAACAAGTTTAGGACAAAGTAAGGGTTGTTCATGAAGGGGATGACCAAGTTAGAACACTAAAACTTCAAATGGTGCTTGCATAATTTAAAGAACTTAGGATGTCTGAAACTGAGTCTATTTTTGAGTTTTATGGGAGAGTTGAGATGATCACAAATGAAGCCATGAGTCTTGGTCAACCTATTGAAGAACTTCTTCTTGTTCAGAAAATTCTTCGTGTTCTTCCTTCTAGGTTTAGAGTAAAGAAAACTGCAATCATGGAAATCCAAAACTTAAATGAAATTAAGCTTGGCAAGCTTGTAGTCCAAGATTTTTTGCATAACAATTTCTCAATGAATGGGAGACATTTTTATTATTATTATGAATATTTAAAATTGAAAATAACCTAACAAAAAGTAGTAAAAAAATAAAGATTTAACAATAATACTATAGATGAACTCATGTGAAAATTTCTTATTTATTGTGAATAAATAAAATTCAAAGCAGGCCTCAAATGATTATATATAAAAAAAATAAAAAAAATAAAAACTATCACATTAGTATACTATTGTTTGTATCAACAAAAAAGAAAAAACCTCCACTACTTATATTTTCTAAAATTTCCTCATCTTATTATTTATTAGATTACTTATTCCTTTAGTAGGATTTAAATTTTTGCTTATAAGTAATTTTTTACGTAGTATGAAGAAATTTTTTAAGTTTGTATAGAAAGATAAATTAGAAAAAACTTATAAGTTTCCTTCATATATTATATTAGTTTCTCTAGTTTCACATTATTAATATAAATTTTTTTATGTTTTTATTTAAATTTTGTCAAAAGAAATTATGACCCAGATAATTATATATGTAATATACATCATATATTTGTCTTTCTCATATATATTGTTTAAATGAAGGTGTTTTTTGTGTGATCAAGAATGGAGGTTTAGTCTAGCAATAAAAAATAGAGCACTGCACACCAAAAAACAGAAGAAAAAAAGAGAGCTTGCAATGGGTCGTGTTGTGTGAGGTTCATGTTGTGTCAGGATTATATACATGTGAAGAATTCTCAACCCAAATTTGACTCGTTTAATAAACGTGTCATTTACAGGTTGACTCGCTAATTTCCAGTGCAGATTTCAGGTCGTGTTGGGTTGATGCTCTAAGTGGTAGCAAACAAATAACATATAAAAAAATCCTAAATTTTGATAATTTAATCAAGTAATTCCATTTTTTATTTTTTATATCAAATAGTAATTGCATTTGACTCTCTCTATGTATGAAGACGGAGAGAGAGAAATAAAAGAAATTTAAAAAATGAAAAAAATGAAGAAGAAACAAAGAAATGGATTGGCGGGTTAATGGGTTACATAAGTATTATAGCGGGTTGACGAGTTGACCCGTCTAATAAACGAGTTATATAGATATTTTAGCAAGTTGATAAGTTGACCCGAAAATTTAATAGTGTGAATTGACACATTAATTTTCTGTACGAATTTTGAGTCGTGTATCAAGTCACGTTGAAAATTGCCACTCTATGATGTGACCGCGTGAACATAATTTCTTCGTTGCCTTTTGTTTCTCTCTCTTGCTATTCTTGCCATGAGGTTGCCAAGGTAGCTTAAGCTTACTTTTTCAAAACCTGCTAATAGTCATATATTCAAAGTGATCCAACGGTCCTACATTTAGGTGTATCGATACACCGGGAGCACTTAAGAATTTCCGTTCATCTTTTTCGGTGTAACTTTGACACTGTGATGAGAAAGACAAATCTTGCCAGAGTGCACTTGGTTTTTGTGGCTGGTAGCACGCACGCGTGAGAAGGTCCAAAAAGCAGTAGAGTCCTTTCACCAAAAAAAGCAGATACTAATCGCTTTCTTTCAAAAAACCAACAACCTGGTTTTTGTGGCTCGTATTAAGTAGTACGCATTTGTAATTAATGTGAAACATGTTATATGTTTGATGTCATCATTTTTTTTGGCTGCTGACCTATTAAATAGTACGCATGGTGCAAAGGTCCAAAAGATCAGTCGTAGTGTTTTTTCCGCAATTTTTTCCTTTGTCCTTTCACCTAAAAAGCAAATACTAATCGACGAGAAAAACAAAGGACAAGGATGTAAGACATGTCGTATATGAAAGCTTTATTTATGTAAGAAAATGTCAAACATGTTATAGGTAAGGTTTACCCTCTACAAAGAATACTATTTTTGAAGCCGTCACAATTTTTTTTGGTCTGATGTCATCTTGGGGTCGTGACCTATAGGTCATAACAAACACTTCCATAATAAGATCAATGCCAACAAGGTGGTTCCAACATTCAACTATGTTGCCAAACTTCACCTGCAGCACCGCCCCTGTTGTGTACAGCATCCAAGAAAATAGCATAGTTTTTTTTTTTCCGGCCATGGAATTTGGATTTTTAAAATTCATAAATTGTTAACAAAATAGGATAGTTTTTTTTTCATTAAGCAAGCAAGCAGACATTATTAAAATATAATAATTAAAATATTACATCATTAAAAAACAAGTTAACAGATTAAGCTTTTGACCATATATAAAGCTTTGATCATATATAAAGCTTTTGATTGAATATATAGAGCAGTGCGTGAAAACCCAATAGAGGATATCGAGATGACCAAATTAAAGTCTCATACTATGGAAAAATGAAGCTTTATTTTTCTTTACTTTAGAAGTGAATGGTGTGTTTGAATATTGTTGTTGTTATTGTTGTTTTTTTTTTTAACATGGACAATTGTAATGTGGTTTTTTTTTATTAATTAAGAATTATAATATTATCGTTTCATATTTTTTTCGTTCTATTTTCTATAGAATTTTTTTACCTTTTAGATGTTGACCCCTGCAATCAGAAATCCTGAATCCGCCACTACCTCTAGCTTTGCACTCTATCCTTCCCCTTGTCCAAGCTTGCCTCTACCACCCAGCCTTCAATGTTTCTATAAACCAAAAAGAAAACAATCCGTATCATCTATCCGAGCTGGTCCAGAAGTAAGTCATCCTCAAATTGCCAAGCCTCAAATTGCTCGGCCACGGCAAACTATCACCCAAACATTTGGGGAGATCGGTTCATCAACTATGAGTATTCCGATGACAATGTAGTGACATTTTCATGATTTTTTATTGTTTTTTTGAAAACCAAAAATGTTCAAATGGTTTTGCTGATGATGATTTGATTAGTACTTGTTGATGATGGCAAATAACTCACGCCCAGAAGCAGGTTGACGAACTGAAAGAAGTAGTGAGGAGGGAAGTGTTTCACAAATCTTAAAGCTGGAGGTGATGGTTTTGCACATCAGCTCAAGTTAATTGATGCAATCCAGCGTCTTGGCGTGGCATACCATTTTGAAAGAGAAATCGAAGAAGCACTGGAACGCATACATGGTACAACATATCATGACAATTATGATGGTGATCTGCACAGTGTTGCTCTTGGCTTTCGGCTACTAAGGCAGCATGGATATAATGTTTCATGTGGTAGGTATATCCCAAGATTAATGTACATGTGGAGAGAGTGAAATAAACCTAAAACCTAAGTGTCATAACGGACTCCTCTAGAAATTCTCACTTCAAAACATGGTAAAAGTGAGATTCTACAAACGCATTCGTCCACACTACATAGATAATTTGTAAATATATAAAGTTATCCTCTAGACAGAAACAAAGGGCGCATCGAACAAAAGACGTCAGTTGGATGGTACACCAGCCACATGGTGTACCCAGAACACCCAAAAATTACTCCCAAAATACAATGTCCTTCCTCACTTTCTCTAGAGCCTAATTTTTTTTTTTTTTTTACAATGAACACCTTTAATACTAGCACATTATTAAAAGTTGTCATTTGTGGTTTTTTTTTTTAGTACAAGTTATAGTCTAAACCACATGGGAAGGAGATTTCTCACACACACACAATTATGATGTTATGGGAGTTCGAACCTGAGACATCTAGTCTGCAAATTAAGGCCATTTTTCACTAGGCTAGACCTCGTTGGCCACATGGCAAGAGGATTCCTGGTTAGGACAGAGAGGTGCACTCAAATTAGTAGTATAACCTCATCAAACAAACAATTCATTTAATATTAGTGATTGATTTTTTGTAACGCCAAAGTTAGGAAGTACAAAACACATGTTGGAAAACTAATGAAGGATACAGTTACTTCCCTTTTTATTGATCCTTGTAATTTATTTCTACCTCAATAATCACAGAAAATGTCATTTTATTCTAGATCAAACGTGAGAATGTATTTGGGCCAGACCAAACTCCAATTTGAAGAACATGCGAATTCTCGACTAATTTATTTTATAATATAACCTTCATGCACATATATGCATGATTTCTGAATCATATGGCAAACCAAAATTTAGTTTATTCAATTTGGACTTTGAAAGCAATGCAATGCGTTTTGTGCCACATCAACAAACCCCTCTCTTTTTTTTTTCTTTTTTTTTAAATTTAAATTTTATAGGTTTTATAAGCAAAGCTCCTTTATCCTTCACTAAGTATGGCTGGATAATAAGTGGTGGGTTGTTCGCTATAATTAAAGTTATAAGACCCAATTCATGATCCAAGACTTAAACTTCATCAACACCTTAGAAATCCTAATAAGTGCATTTTGATAAATAAATTAAAAAAACCTACAACACATGCATGTGGCTAGGAATTGTGGAAATGTAAAGTCGGTGAACAAAGCCAAACCTAATTCTAGTCGGATGATAGCTGACACTGTGACGATAAAAGACAAATCTTGCGAGAGCGCACATGGTTTTTGTGGCTGTTATTAAGTAGTACGCATGTGTGCGAAGGTCCAAAAGATCAGGCGTTTTAGTAGTTTTTTTTCCGCAATTTTTCCTGTCCTTTCACACCAAAAAGCAAATACTTCTCTTTAAATAAAAAAAAAAAAAAAATAAAAAAAAAATAAAATGCGTTCAAACGTCTATCTACCTACAAATTAATACATCACTAAATGGTCTCGACGAGAAAAACAAAGAGAAAAGGATGTAAAACATGTTGTATATGAAAGCTTTATTTATGTAAGAAAATGTCAAATATGTTATAGGTAAATCTCCAATCAATGTGTCAAAAGTGTCACATAGACATTTAACAGTTAGAAATAACATCTCACATCACTACAACCAATGTGTCAAAGCTGATGTGGAATGAAGGTTGGAGGTTGATATGTTATTTTTGACATCCCAGAAGCAAAATGTCAAATGAATATTTTATTATTTTTTCTTTTCTTTTTAATTAAAAATAAATCAACACTAAAATGTAATAAAATAATAATTTAATTTGACATATCAGGTGGAGTGTAAAACTGTGTAAGATGTTAAATTGCCAAATCAGCCATCAAATTTAAATTTGATGTTTGGTATTTGACATCTCCCTTGGAGATGCTTTACTCTGTAAAAAGAATACTATCTTTTGAAGACGTCATCAATTTGTTTTGGTCTGATGAACACTTCTATAATAAGATCAACGCCAACAAGGTGGTTCCAACATTCAACTATGTCGCCAAACTTCACCTCTAGCTTTGCACTCTTTTTCTCCCCTTGTCCAAGCTTGCCTCTACCACCCAGCCTTCAATGTTTCTATAAACCAAAAAGAAAACAATCCGTATCATCTATCCTCGCTGGTCCAGAAGTAAGTCATCCTCAAATTGCCAAGCCTCAAATTGCTCGGCCCACGGCAAACTATCACCCAAACATTTGGGGAGATCGGTTCATCAACTATGAGTATTCCGATGACAATGTATAGTGACATTTTCATGATTTTTTATTGTTTTTTGAAAACCAAAAATGTTCAAATGGTTTTGCTGATGATGATTTGATTAAGTACTTGTTGATGATGGCAGTAACTCATGCCCAGAAGCAGGTTGACGAACTGAAAGAAATAGTGAGGAGGGAAGTGTTCACAAATCTTAAAGCTGGAGGTGATGGTTTTGCACATCAACTCAAGTTAATTGATGCAATCCAGCGTCTTGGCGTGGCATACCATTTTGAAAGAGAAATCGAAGAAGCACTGGAACGCATACATGGTACAACCTATCATGACAATTATGATGGTGATCTGCACAGTGTTGCTCTTGGCTTTCGGCTACTAAGGCAGCATGGATATAATGTTTCATGTGGTAGGTATATCCCAAGATTAATGTACATGTGGAGAGAGTGAAATAAACCTAAAACCTAAGTGTCATAACGGACTCCTCTAGAAAATCTCACTTCAAAATGTGGTAAAAGTGAGATTCTACAACCGCATTCGTCCACACTACATAGATAATTTGTAAATATATAAAGTTATCCTCTAGACAGAAACAAAGGGCGCATCAAGCGAATATTAGGGTCAATTTTCTTTTGTTTTGACCCCCACTAATTGAAAGGGCTGATTTCTTAGGGTGTAGAATGACTATTCTAAACTTTGACTCTAGAGTGGTTAAATTAGATTTGTGGGTTTAAGTCTCAGGTTTTGGGTTGTCTAAAAGGTCTTTCTATATCAATAACTTACCATGTCAATAAATTGCATAAAAGTTGAAGAAAATTGGTAAAAGTGAGGTTTTCTCAATGCGTCATTTCTTAAAAGAACACATAATGTCTTGTATAAAAAATCTCATATATATATATATATATGTGTGTGTGTGTTTGAACACTTTTTTGACAATCCAACAGGTAATTATATATGTACAATTTTATTTATTTATTTATTTTTGACAATCAAGCAGATATATTCAACCAGTTCAAAGATGCAAACGGTAACTTCAAGGAAAGCTTGACTGCCAATGTGTCTGGCATGCTAAGCTTGAATGAAGCAACACATCTAAGGGTGCATGGAGAAGATATACTAGAAGAGGCTCTTGTTTTCACCACCGCTCACCTTGAGTCCAAAATAACCCATGTAAGGTATTCACTGGCAGCACAAATAAGTCAAGCCTTGGAGAGACCTCTGCTAAAATGTCTAGAGAGGTTAGGTGCCAGGAATTACTTGTCAATCTACCAAGACGAAGCTTCACATAATGAAACTCTACTAAAACTTGCAAAGTTAGATTTCAATCTTGTTCAGTCTTTGCACAAAAAGGAGCTCAGTGAGATTACTAGGTAAGTTTGTTTTAAATTAATTCTCTAAATGTGAGCATACAAGATCTACTTTTCAAAGTGTAAAATTCATACTAATTATACACATGTTTAGGTGGTGGAAAGAAGTGGACTTTGAAAGGAAGCTGCCGTTTGCAAGAGACAGGATAGTGGAATTGTACTTTTGGGCAATGGCAATATATTTTGAACCTCACTACTCTGCCGCAAGAATAATTGTAAGCAAAATCATTGCCGTGGGAACAGTGATGGATGATATATACGATGCATATGGTACCTTCGAAGAACTCGAGATCTTTACAGAAGCAATTAGGAGGTTTGAAATAATCAAGTTCCGTGTTTTTCTTATTTAAATATTTTTTTTCTTCTATTTATTTTGCAGAACTCCTACAATTACGCTTAAAATGATTATGGTTGATGCAATTTTCAGGTGGGATGTTAATTGCATGGATGAACTGCCAGACTACATGCAAATATATTATCGCACACTTTTGAATCTTTTCAATGAAATTGAGGATGAGATGGTGAAGCAAGGCAATTCATACCGAATTTACTATGCAAAAGAAGCTGTATGCGCATTCATTACTATGCTTGATTTTTTAAACATTTTTTTTTGAGTGGTGATTTCCCCACTCCAATTTTATCCACTTACACTCCATTTTGTAACTAAACAAGGAGTGTAAGTGGATAAAATTGAAGTGGGGAAATCATTACCATTTTTTTTGTTTTTCGTTCGAACTACATACAAGTTTACTTTGGATCACTCGTTTAGCATATGTCAAATATGCAGGCAAAAGCTTCATGCCAAGCTTACTTTGCTGAGGCCAGATGGTTACACGAAGGATGCATCCCAAGCATGGAGGAGTATATGCATGTTGCAGCAACTACTGTTGGTAACCGCTTACTTGCAACCATGTCTTTACTTGGCATGGGAGATGTTGTAACGAAGGAGGTATTTGAGTGGTTGTTCAGTAACCCTAAAATTCTTAGAGCTTCCAATATCATGTTTAGGCTCATGGATGACATTGCTGGGTCCAAGGTATGAGACGATATTCCTAATTACTTTGAATAAGATTAACTAAATAAGATTACTTACTAAATGCTTTGAACTCCTACATTTTTGCAGTTTGAGAAAGAGAGAGGGCATGTTGCTTCTAGTATTGATTGCTACATGAAGCAATATGGGGTCTCAGAGGAAGAGACACTTGATGTTTTCAACAAACAAGTTGTGGATTTGTGGAAGGATATAAACGAGGAGCTCCTTATAAAGCCAACTGCTGTGCCAAGGCCTGTCCTCATCTGCGTTCTCAATTTAACAAGAGTTGTGGATCTGCTTTATAAAAAGGGAGATGACTTCACACATGTTGGAAAACTCATGAAAGATACTATTACTTCCCTTTATATTGATCCTGTGCCACTTTAAGTTGGGTTCATTATCATCTTTGTAACTTATTACTACCCCAATAATTGAAGAATAATTATCAAATTTTATGACGTTCGTAAATTTTTGATATTGCAACCACTTGAGACGTTAATTAGCCTATAGAGAACAGTTAGGATCAATGAACAAACTGTTTGCACCTTGTAGCAGATTGCACAGCTTCAAGTTGAAGCCATGGCAGGGGCGAGGAGGGAGGGGGTGCTCTTAGCTAGTCTTTTAACACGCATGCATGGCGACTTATGCAGTTGAAGAATTAATTATTATGAAAATGACAGGAGAGAGGGAAGGGGTCATATATTTTCATAGGGTTTTTGGAGGTCCGTGAACTTTACCTCGAGTTGCAATTGGGTCCTCAAACTTTGTTTTTGAGGCAATTAAGTTATCCAACTTTCTCATCCGTTCCAATTTAGTCCTTCCATCAATTTAGCTTTTAATTTGAGGGCTAATACCGTCCATTTCAATTAAAATATTTTAAATTTTAAAAATTGAAAAGAAAAACTTAAAAAACTTAAAAAATAAATAAATAAACTTGAAAATAAAAAATCCAAATCCAAATCCCTCTCTCTCTCCCTCTCTCCCACAACCCATTCCCCCTCCGTAGCGATGCCTTCTCTCCTTGTCTCCAACCTGTGAAACAACTTCCTCTTCTTCCAAACCAAGTCCACCATGGATGATCGCCGAGATCCAATCCTCCCTCTCACATTCGCCTTTCTCTCTCTTTCTTTCTCAAATCTTGAGGCCCATCAAGAAAAAATTCCACCTTCCCAGCAATTCTTCGCTCAAAGAATCTACAGTAGCAAACTTTAATCTGCTACCTCCTCAATTTCATCCTGGTGTGTCTTGGTTGAAGTACCCAAAAAACAAAAAAAAAAAAAAAAAAAAAAAAAAATCTAAACGAAATTGGTGTACTGAAACCTGGGTGTGTTGGATTGCCTTCACGCTTTTACTGTGGGTGTTCAGAGATATGTAATGTAATGGCTCCCTCCTCTGTAATGGCTTAGCAAGCAGGACCCATCTCTCTCACAGCCGCCAAGACTTCCTCAGTCAGACCCAATCCCCCAAAATTTTCAACCTCCCTCTTCTTCTTATTCTCTGGCTTACTCAACCCATCCTCACTCTGTCTCGGGGATAGAAATGGTTGTGGTTGTGGCAGTGCAAAGAGGCCTAAACCCTGTTAAAACCCTGGTGGCACTACTACAAATATTCAAAAAGATAATACTGAATACACAACGGTTGTTCCAAAACCGTTGTAGTTATTTCTTCCACAACGGTTTTTACGTAACTATTGTTAAAGGGGTTTTTAAGCGTTGTGGTTTAGGATATTTGATTTTCTGATTTTATTTCACGACTTTCTACAACGGTTTCGTTTCAACCATTGTAATTGAAGCTTTAAAAAAAACACGGAGTGAATAGTGGCTCAATATTTTTTCTTGAGCCCCAATAGTTCTCATTCTCTCTTATCTCTCTTCTATCTTTTGTCTCTCGCATCTACCTCTCTCCACGGTCTTGTTCTTCCCACCTTCTAGTTCAGAGGATTTGGGTCTCTCGGATCTACCTCGCCTTGCCTTTGCCACAGTCATGGACAGCGAGACTCTGTCTCTCCCGTCTGTCTGTCTGTCTGTCTGTCTGTTTGTCTCTCTCTCTCTCTCTCTCTCTCTCTCTCCTTCTAGTTCAGAGGGATTTGGGTTTTAATTTTAGGGTTACTGATTTGGGTTTTAATCTAACCATTTGGGTGTTGGCTTGCGGTCGCTCTACCTCGATCAACAAAGGTAAAGAAAAAAAAAATTTAGGGTTTCAATTTATTTCGACACTGTTGTGATTTGGGTGTTAACCATCTCTCTTTGTTTCCCCTGCAGGTGCTTCGCTTTTCCATCTCTCTTGCCCTCTACGGCTGTTGCTCTTAGTGTTTTCAAAGGCATGCTTTCGCGCGCGTCGGAACTCGCTTCGGAGCGAGGCGGCCGGAAAACGCCCGAGGCGGTCGGCTGTTTCGCGAGTTGCACGTTTAGCCCTGGGAAGGCGTGAGGAGGCGAAGCAAGGCGCGCGAGATCTGGACACGCTGAAACAGAAGAAATTTTTAGCTTTTGCAAATTTGGTGCGGCTTTGCGAGGAAGTTGATACAGCGAGGAATGACTTTTTTTTTTTTTTTTTTTTTTTTTTTTTTTTTTTATATATAGGTAGGTGGGTTTTTTTTTTTTTTTTTTTTCTAATGAAAAACCATGACGTTTCGATTGAAGTGTTTAAAAAATAAAAAATAAATAAAAAAACCACGCAAGTTTGTTTTTGTTTTTTTTCGCTTCCCTTTTTTTCCCGCACTTGTTGCTTCCCTTCATCCAATATTCCTGCCTTTTCTATTTCCAGCCGTTTTCTACTTACCTCTTTTTTTTCTTCTCTAAATTAATATATTAACACATGGAATTATATATATATATATATGTATATTGTATAGTACAACCCTAATTTCTATCCTTATCAAATATTTAATTATATTTAAAAGATTGTTATGGTTCAATAAAAATTAGTTGTACAATTTAATTGTATTGTATTATTCAAAAAAATTTCTTATTAAAATAAATTAATATTCAATAGGCTTACGCCTCAACGCTTCAAGACTTACGCATCGCATAGCGCTACTAAAATGCCTCGCCTATACGCCTCGCTTTTGAAAACATTGGTTGCGCTCACTCTGAAGCTTTGATAGGTTAGAACTCTGCATTCTCAGTCTCAGGCCCCTTTCTCAGTCCCCTTTCTTTCGTAAGAACTCTTTGGTTCGCGAATTTGTGTGGTTGTTCAATTTATAAACTCAATTTGAGTGGTTGTTCAAGAGCTATCACCTTCTCAATAAACGCAAAAGATTAAAAATTTAAAAAAACAAAACAAAAAAACAAAAAAACTAAATCAATAATAAAGCAGGAGGGTCTCTCAGGTCAAGGTACTCTCTACCATCTCTCTGCTACTTGCACAGAATAAATGAAATTTGGGTTTTCTTTGTTGTGTGTGTGAATTTGTTAGATTGAGGTGAGGTTCATCTAGGGTTCGATTTACTTCTCTTGGTTGATGAATTTGTCGATTATTGGACAATCTTTTCTGTATCTGCGCTTGGGTGGTTCAATAACCAATCTCTCTTTCAATTCTACTTTGGCTTTGTATAGATGTATAGTGCCCTGAGTTTCAGACAAAATAGGTCAATCACTACTTCTAAATCATATTTGTATTTTTTCATTGTTCGCATACTGGATGCTTATCCTTACAAATTTATTGTATGACAGCTTCAAGCAATATCAAGGACCAAGGAAAGAAATTCAAGAATGAGGCAGTGCGTTGTTCAACTACCAATTTCAGGGGTTAAGTATTGGGTTGTTCAATTAGTGTATTCAGATACTACCCTCTCTTTTTTACATCGGGATGCTGATTGTGTTTGACACTAGGTGTTTGTGATAATACAATTTTAGGTTAGTAATTTCCTCTTTATATTTCTGTCTTTCTGGAGGACGCAGGTGACAAAGGTAAAAAACAAAATCAAAGAGGAGGGCTTTGGCATTTAATTTTTAAGCTTCCTCTCCACAAAACACCCTTTCGTCGTAATTCCCCTTATTATTTTTGTGGTGTTTCTGACTAGAATGCAGTGTTGGTTTTTATTTATGTTGAAATGCCTAATAACAATTAACTACTTTGAATTTTTCTCTTTGTTTATATATTGGTTTTTGATGATATTTAGGGGTGGTTTGCTTATTTTTTATGTTCACATTACTGTGGTTGTACTTTCTGCATAGTTAGCCAATAGATAGGTGCAATGCATATCAAGAAATTTGTTTTTCTGCATATTGTTGGTTCATAATGCAGAATTTTGGTTTTTACATTTCTGTGACATTTGGGTATTTAGTTGCCAAGAACTATGTTGATGCATGTCAAATTCTAATACGTAGACTAAAACCTAGTGTCAAGTCTACATAGCACACAAGCACACTTCACCGGATTCTCTGCCTATAGTGTCTTATTTGTTTTTTCTTTTACATGTCTGTTTATTTATGATCTGTATTAGTTTCTCCTATCTTTCTGTTTTTTGTTGTTGCATCTTTCAGTAAAAGATTGACATCTTTTTTTGCATTTCTTTTTTGTTAGGAATCATATTATGTTTTGATTTTTTGTTTCTTTTCCTCTTTTCTCAAGGAATACTTTTGGTAGAGGAATTAAAAGCTTCATGAGGATCATGTGCTTGGACTTCAATATAATCTCCTCCAATTTTTGTTGCTCTTCTTATGATGTGTTTTTTCTTGGTGCTGGTATAACTAAAAACCGTTTGTGCTCAGATAAAGGAGGTAGTATTCAAACTTAGAAAGAGAGAAGATTTAAATTCGTATAGGAGGGATAGTGTTCAAGCTATTTACCAGGTTATTATTTCAAATCCTATCTCTTTTTTGTCATCACACGTGCTCTTCCAAGTTTTAAATTGTTTGTTAGGATTTCTGAATTTGGGTGTTTGATTTCTGAATTTTAATCTTCTCTATTTTGTCTAATTTTGTCTTGGTTTCTCTCTGTCTCTTTCATTCTTATGTTTCATTTTGTCAAGTAAACATTTTCTCTATGATTTATTTATGTTTCATTTCGGAATTTTAATTATGTTTATATAAGGATGTTGATACTTTCTTATATTCATTCATGTGACAGCAAAGGACCAATTTAAATGTGGCATGCTTCAACCAATTTAGATGTTGCGTGTATCCCACCACCCGAACCAATTTGTATGTTGATACTCAACATCATTGCCATGCACATATATAATAGGTAAAGTTTCATCATTCTCTTTTATTTTTATGACTTTTTGGAATGATTGGTTTTGTTAATGTTTTTTGTCTTTGGTTTTATCTAAGAGGATGCACAGTGTTGGCAAGCTGTGATGCCACTGCAGAGTACCCAAAGAGAGTAAAGTGGATGGCGGAGATACTAATTTTTCTACTTAGGTTATCAATTATTGATAATGGGTGAGAGTCTGTAGTATTTTCTTTTTATTTAGCTTGGTATGTCAAATTGTTCGTAATCCCTGATATTTAGGCAGATATATTTTTCAATGAATTGGTATGTCTTTCAATGTTGAACTCTTTAGCCTGCATGATATGATTGCTGCATCACTTGCCTATTTGTAGATTCTAATTTAGTGAAAGTTTGTACCTGGACACAGAAAGATGAAGAAGTGGAGTCCTTAAGGAAGAAGTTTGCTAGAATTCAAGCTGACAGGAAGGAGAGGGAAGAAGCTGAAGCAGTGACGGTGGCTGCACAACTCAAGAAAACGGAAGTTTCAGGTTAGAATTTCCTTACGTTGGCTGGTCCACAAGCTGAACTCATGTTTGTGGGCACTTACACTTGAAAACAATCCTATATCGTTTATTAGTTATTGCTAACATAAATATATATCTATTCTACAATCCATTTTTATAACAGACAACAGTGGAGAAAAGAAAAAGCAACTGGCCACAATAAATATATATTTATTTATTCTAATAATCCATTAATGGTTTTCATTTCTGCTACAGCCTATCTATTCTCAAGCAGGTTGAGTCTTAAAATTCTTGAAGGCTTGCTGGGAGCAGGTTTGTCAACACACGAGCAGATGGACGAAGTCAGGCATGAGTGAGCATGTTTTGTGACCATTATGTAAAGTGATGAAGTTATGGAACAACATAAACACAATTTTTTTATTGTGAAAATTGTTGTAGCGTACATGCATTGAATTTTAATTGTAAATTGATATTGTGGTATAAATTATTAGTGTGAATTTCCATTAATTTTCATAGTGAATGATTCCTTTGGAATTTTGGTAATTTTGGGTTTTCCAAAACGTCATTATCTATGTTGTACAGTGGTTTTCGATAACAACCGTTGTGGAAGGTGTTAAACCACAACGGTTTTAAGTAAGAACCGTTGTGGAAGGTGATAAACCACAACGGTTACCATTGACAACCGTTGTTGAAAGTGCCAAATTACAACGGTTTTATAGAATAACCGTTGTCGAAAGGATCATATTACAATGGTTATTATTGAGAGTCGTTGTTGAAGGGGTCATATTACAACGGTCGCTCTTGTATACCTTTTTTATATATGAGAATTGACAACGGTTTTCCTTGAAAACCGTTGTTGAAAGTGACATATTACAACGGTTCCTGACCGTTGTCATAAATATGTAAAAAAAACGACACTGCTAACATCAACGGTTTTACAAGACTTTCTACAACGGCTAAAAATTGTTGTATATTAACTTTTTTGTAGTAGTGTGGTTTTTGGCAGTTTTATGAGAGAGAAGCGTTTGGCTGCTTGGAGGCGTGATAGAGAGAACATGTTTGAGGAGAGAGAGAAAGAAAGTGAGAAGGGTCCTTGCTACTCCTCCCATCCTCTAATATACCCCTCACAACAAGCACGTGCCATTCACACGGTCAAACTAGAAGGATTCTGTTATGGCAGGACTCAATTGGAACTACTTGTCGAGTTAAAGGATGTAATTGCCCAAAAAAAAAAAGTTCACGGACCCAATTGCAATTGGGGACAAAGTTTAGGGATGTCTACAGCACCCTATTTTCACAATAATTTTGCTACAAACGAAAATAAAACCCCAGGTTGTATTATGATATTGCCGTACCTACCATGGCAGACCCAAGAAGTTTGTCATATTGGACTAATATTTTTCTTGACTTTGGGGACTCCAAGTAAAAAATAATAATTTATAACATCTTTTAAAATATTTAAAAACCCAAAAATAACTTCTTCTTTTTTAATAAACAAAAATAAATAATCTTAAACAAACCCTTTCTCCTTCTCTCTCCAAACCTCATCATAATGTTTTGAGTGGAACCTCAAGCAGAGAAGCAACTTCTCTTTCAAATAGCATAAGAAAAAAATCCCAAAAATTTAACAACCAAACTCTAAATCTTAAAAACCTAACGATAAAAATTAAAATTTAACAACCAAAACCTAAATGTTATCACTATGAGAAGCATTTCCTCATTCTGCCTCCGCTTCTCTGTGTGTGTGAGAGAGAGAGAGTGACTGTAAGAGTTGAGAGAGAGGGAGGGTCGGGAGAGGGATAGTTGAGAGAGTCAATGAGAGAAGGAGCAGTGAGAGGAAGAGAGAGATAGAGGGGGAGAAGCGGTGATTCACACAGAGAGAGGAAGAGAATGAAGCAGAAGAGAAAATAAGCCGAATACAAAGAAGAAGAAAAAAGAGAAATGAAGGAGAGAAACAAAAAAAAATAAAGAGAAAAGCAACATAAGAAAAGATAAGTAAAAGAGAAAAAATGAAGAAGGGAAGCAGACATGGCAAAGACAAAAAAGCAACAAAATTTAATTGGTTTATTAGATTAAAAAACAAAAAGCAACCTTAAGAGACAACCTCTGGTAAGGAGAGGGGTGGGCTAATATTTGTGGGTAGGGACATCTTTGTAAAATTGGCACCAAGTCTAGTAACTTTAAATCTTGCATATCAATAATATCCCGATATTTCTATCGAAATTTCCGTATTTTTGAACTATCAATATTTTCGATACCATCGATATTTTAGACCTCAGTTCTTATTTACATATCTATTATTTGGTAAAATACTTTTGAAAAGTGACAGATCATCAAAGTTTGTGGACATGAGAGAGAGATACTGTGTGGATTGTCAACAATGACAATGTGAACGGCTTTTCTTCATGGTCTTTCAGCTACAGGGATCTACCCTTCTGTGTTGGTCACATTCATGTAATCTTATAAATGAAGACACGTACCACAAAGGCTACCAAAACTATAATGATTGTGGACACAGAAGGAAGCAGTATAGGTCCTACCTGTGGATTCTTGCTTAATAGTTTGTTGCTTAGAGCAGTTCCTGTGGATTCTATTACGGCATGACTCAATTGGAACTACTTGTCGAGTTAAATGATGTAATTGCCTAAAAAAAAAGTTCACGGACCCAATTGCAACTCGGGGACTCCAAGTAAAAAATAATAATTTATAACATCTTTTAAAATATTTAAAAACCCAAAAATAACTTCTTCTTTTTTAATAAACAAAAACAAATAATCTCAAACAAACCCTTTCTCCTTCTCTCTCCAAACCTCATCATAATGTTTTGAGTGGAACCTCAAGCAGAGAAGCAACTTCTCTTTCAAATAGCATAAGAAAAAAATCCCAAAAATTTAACAACCAAACTCTAAATCTTAAAAACCTAATGATAAAAATTAAAATTTAACAACCAAAACCTAAATGTTATCACTATGAGAAGCATTTCCTCATTCTGCCTCCGCTTCTCTGTGTGTGTGAGAGAGAGAGTGACTGTAAGAGTTGAGAGAGAGGGAGGGTCGGGAGAGGGATAGTTGAGAGAGTCAATGAGAGAAGGAGCAGTGAGAGGAAGAGAGAGATAGAGGGGGAGAAGCGGTGATTCACACAGAGAGAGGAAGAGAATGAAGCAGAAGAGAAAATAAGCCGAATACAAAGAAGAAGAAAAAAAGAGAAATGAAGGAGAGAAACAAAAAAAAGAAAAGAGAAAAGCAACATAAGAAAACATAAGTAACAAAGAAAAAGACGAAGAAGGGAAGCAGACATGGCAAAAGACAAAAAAGCAACAAAATTTGATTGGTTTATTAGATTAAAAAATAAAAAGCAACCTTAAGAGACAACCTGTGGTAAGGAGGGGTGGGCTAATATTTGTGGGTAGGGACATCTTTGTAAAATTGGCACCAAGTCTAGTAACTTTAAATCTTGCATATCAATAATATCCCGATATTTCTATCGAAATTTCCGTATTTTTGAACTATCAATATTTTCGATACCATTGATATTTTAGACCTTGGTTATGATATACATATCTATTATTTGGTAAAATACTTTGAAAAGTGACAGATCATCAAAGTTTGTGGACATGAGAAAGAGATACTGTGTGGATTGTCAACAGTGACAGTGTGACCGGCTTTTCTTCATGGTCTTTCAACTACAGGGATCTACCCTTTTGTGTTGGTCACATACATGTAATCTTATAAATAGAGAATAAAATATCGATAATTTCAACGATATTTCGGCGAAATTATTGTTTTTTAGGGGCAGCGATATTTTAATAGGTTTCCATTTATTTATCGTCAATTTATCGATAATTTCCTCGATAATTTCGCGATAATTTCGATACCGATATTTTCGTTCAAATGGCATCTGCAAATGGTCAACATATTGCGATATTATCAATAATATCGCGATATGAACTTTCAAAAATGAAATAATTCGCTTGAACGTCGCATCCTAGCTTCCAACTTCTAACTGATATTTTTAGAAACATCAATGGAACCAATCGATGAGTCCATACAAGGAAAACCAGATCTGAAGTTATGAACCTTAAAAGATAATAAATAAATAAACTATCCAACAAAACATATATGAACCTCTACTGAGCTTTAAATTTGCATGAAAAATCAGATTCCATATCTGAACAATAAAAAAATCAGATTCAAGAACTTAACCCAAGATATTCAAGAACCTAGATCTGCAGAGAAAGAGATATAGAGGGAGAGATAGAAACATAGAACCGAGAGAAGAAAAAAAACCAGAGTACTAGAAAATCAGAGAAAGAGAGGAAGAAAAAAGAAAAGAGAAAGAATAAGAGAGAAAAAGAAAACGAAGAAGAAATGAGAGGAGAGAAAGAAATGGGAGGAAAGAGAGCTTAGAGCTTCCAAACCACAGTTTTTTCATGGTGGGCTCTCACATCACTCTTGTGATGATGACTGCTCCAAGTGCTAGAACAAAAAAAAACTGAGAGGAAAAGAGGTGGAAACGGAAAGAATGAGAGAAAGAAAGAGAGAGTGAAGTGAGAAAAAGGAAATAAAGAAAGGAATAAAGTAACAAAGAGGTGGAAACGGAAAGAATGAGAGAGAAAGAGAGAGTGAAGTGAGAAAAAGAAAAGAAAGAAATGAATAAAGTGACTGACGTTGATGGATGGGATTAGATAGATAGGGTTAGGATATTAGTATTTTAGTATGGTTTGTTGGGCTTGGGATATTATTAGTATGGCTTGTTGGGCTTGTTGGCTAGTTGTGCTTAGGATATTTAGTATTTCCTTCTAATCTTTTGTGTTAAAATAATAGATTATTGACAAAATAAACTTTTTACAAAATTTCATTAAAAATTTCCATGTATTTATCACTATTTCCATGGTTTTTATCCAATTTTTATCGATATCGATATTTTCCCGATATTTCCATCGATATTTCCGTGTTTTTGAACCACCGATATTTCCCAAACCCTCGATATTTAAGACCTTGCTTATAAATGAAGACACGTACCACAAAGGCTACCAAAACTTTAATGATTGTGGGCACAGAAGGAAGCAGTATAGGTCCTACTTGTGCATTCTTGCTTAATAGTTTGTTGCTTAGAGCAGTTCCAGCAGACAGTACAGCCCAAATAAAAGGCCTTCGGTCTCCCAAAATCAGCCCCAACAATGACATCTAGCCCAGGTGCAAGGCCCAAGGCAAGAACATCTCAAGTCACTGCTTGAGGGTGTTGACATTAGTAAAGAGAAAAAAAAATCGAAACAAATTGTGAAGAATTACCCTTTTATTTTATTTTATACATACCTAGCAAACTTTTATTTATTAATCTCATACATATAAATAAAATTAATCCCATGTGAACAATAATTGCCCTTGAGTTATCATGGTAATGGGTGGAAAAGCATGGATGGGCCTAAGCACATGCTACATCTTGTGAGCCACATGGAATATTTATAAAATAGGGTTAATTATTTTATTAGTTCCTGAACTTAGACCCGATTTGCATTTGAGTACCTCAATTTCCAAAATGGTTCATGTGGTTAGGACAAATGGTCCTACCGTCAATTTTGTTAACTTTCTATGTTAAATGCAAAGGCAAAATGGTATTTTTATGTTAAACACAAAAAAAAATGAATAAAAAATCATATCTTAAATAAAATAAAAATGAAAAAAAATAAAAAAAAAAAAAAAAAAAAAAAGGATAAATCAAGCTTGGGGGAGTAGAAATCGGGATAGAAGGGGAGAGGAATAGTTTAATTTTAATTTTTTTTAAATTTTGTTTTTCATATTTTAATCAATTTTGATATGAAAATACCATTTTGCCCCTGCATTTAACAGAAAAGTTAACAAAATTGATTGCAGGACCATTTGTCCTAACGAAACTGAAGTTGACGGACCACAGGAACCATTTTGGAAATTGAGGTATTCAAATGCAAATTGGGTCTAAGTTTAGGGACTAATAAAACAATTCACTCTTATAAAATATTGTTAGAGCATATACTTTGGTCAAAAAGGGGTACTCTTCTCTACATTGGTTGAGTAATTATCCCATAAAAATTTTAAGGGCTCGTCTGGTAACTTTTTTAGAGAATTTTTTTAGAATTTTTTTAGAGAATGAAAATGGGAAAATGAATTTACATTTTCAGGATTTGGGAATGCCTCTGGTAGATTAATTGGAAAATATATTCAGAAAATAAAAATAGTCAAAACTTGTTTAGTAGTAAAATTTGGGAATAATATTTGGGCTATTTTTGAAGTGTATTATTATTAATGTCTATTAAAAAAATAAAATTATCAAGGTAACTGCTATTTTTTTATGAGCCACTATGTATTTGTACCTTCACTGACAACAATTTGATGCAACGAGGTCTCTTTGATGCCTTTAATTTATGTAGAAGGTTAAGAATTTCCCCAAAAAAAATGTTCTTATTTATTGTTTGTATATCATACATATGTCAACGATCGATGTGGCCTATATGTAAGTTAAAAATGAGCATATATTATAAGGATTCATAACTTTAAACATTATTTTTGTCAATTCTAAAATGTCCCTCTTCCAATATCGCTTGTATAAAAAGAAAAAAAAATACAAATGAAATTGTTTCTAACCCAGACCATGAGGTTGGAAGTGTAATTGACAACAAAATGGAATACGCAAAAGAAAAAAAAAAACTCTTGACCCAAAAAAAAAAAGTAAATTTAGGTTTTAGCAACAAAAAAAAATTTCACTTTTGGAAAAAGCCAAAACTTTTTCAAAAAAGACAGAAAAACCTCTCAACTTTCAAATCAAATACATGCAAATGTAAATGATTCCTTAGGAAATCCAAAAATAAATAAGGGCAATTTTGTCTATTTTGGCTTCTTTTACAAAATTTCTCTCTCCTTTGTGTTTTCCCCAAAGTCTATTACTACCTTTGAATTTTAATTTCTGTGACTTTTTTTTTGCGTCCGTCAATTTCGCTTCTTTTTTTTTTTTTTTTTTTTTTTTTTTTTTGTTAAATTAAGTACACGAACTAATTTTTATTGTCAATTCCCCCTTACTGTCTAAATCAACAACATATCATCCAATAGTATGTCAAATCATTAAAAAATATATAATCTTTTTGAAAATATTAAAGAAAAAGAAAACAAAAAAAATCCTAGCCACAGACACAGAACCCACCCTCCCCTTCTTCCTCTTGCGTTTTTCTTCTCCTCCCATAACCCCATGACCACCACCCTTCACTCCCAGTCCGATCCCCCACTCCCACACCCACAGACCCCTTCCCCCCTTATGTTTTTTTCACCCCAAAACCCAGCCTGCCCCTGGGTCTTTCTTCTCCTCCCATTTCCCTATGACCACCACCCTCCACTCCTAGACAAATCCCCCACCTCCCCCTTCTGTTATTTTCAACCCCAAAACCTAGCCCGCCCCCTCACCCGGAGACCAATCCCCCATCGTACAGATCCCTCCCCTCTTTAACAACCCCTGGTTTTCTTCTCTCCCGTGACCATCACCATTCCTACTTCTATTTGTTTTACTCCCAGACACATTCCCCCCCTTTCTTTCCAAAAAACAAAAAAAAAAAAAAAAAAAAAACATCCCCTTCCGCCTCCTCTCTCTCTCTCTCTTCTGTCTACTTCACAAGATCAACTTCACCCATGTGGTACTTATTCCTAAAGTGAAAAACCCAAAGGACATGACCCAACTACGCCCTATCAGCCTCTGTAACGTTTTATTTAAAATTGCCTCCAAGGTGCTAGCCAATCGCCTGAAAATTATCCTCCCTTCTCTGATCTCGCCCAGTCAGAGTGCTTTTGTCTCAGGACGCCTTATCTCGGATAATTCCATATTAGCTGCTGAAATTATCCACTGCCTGCGGAGTCGACGACGGGGTAAGAAAGGCTTTTTGGCACTGAAACTCGATATGAGCAAGGCCTACGATCGAATTGAATGGCCTTTCCTGGAAGAAATGATGAAGAAATTGGGTTTTGCAGAACAATGGGTTAGGCTTATAATGACTTGTGTCACCACTGTTAGTTACTCTTTTCTAGTTCATGGTTCACCATGTGGTTACGTTAACCCTTCTAGGGGTCTCAGGCAGGGAGATCCGCTATCCCCTTATCTGTTTATTTTATGTGCACAAGGTTTCTCTAGTTTCCTTACACATGCGGAACGGGATGGGCGCTTAAAAGGAGTCTCCATTTGTAGGGGTGCGCCTCCCATCAACCACCTCATGTTTGCCGATGATTGCTACCTGTTTGCCCGTCCAAATGTGGGAGATTGTGGGACAATCAAGGAGGCACTCTCTTGGTATGAATGGGTATCCGGTCAACAAGTTAATTTTCAGAAGAGTGCAATATGCTTCAGCAAAAATATTAAGCACCAAGACCAACTGGTTCTAGCAGCATCTCTCGATGTCTCTTGTGTTGAGCATTATGATAAGTATCTTGGGCTTCCAATGGTAGTTGGCAGGAACAAAGGTTCCTCATTTGCACATCTCAAGGAACGGTTGGGCAAAAAATTGATATGCAGGGAAAGAAAAGGAAAGCTCTTAAGCGGTGCAGGGAAAGAAATTCTTATCAAGACTGTGGCACAGGCTCTCCCCTTGTATTCGATGAGTGTTTATTTATTGCCCAAATATTTTTGTGATGATCTTAACCGCTTAATTGCAGATTTTTGGTGGAACGGAAATAATGGCGACAGGAAAATACATTGGCTTGCTTGGGATAAGCTTTGCCAACCCAAAGATGTTGGGGGGTTGGGCTTCCGTGATTTATATGCTTTCAACCTTGCTATGTTAGCTAAGCAAGGATGGAGGCTCATACAATATCCGGATTCCCTAGTAGCACGGGTTCTACGAGCTAAGTATTTTCCTGATAAATCTTTTCTTGATGTCCTTGTTTCAGACAATTCTTCTTATGTTTGGAAAAGTATCTGTGCGGCCAGAAAAATTCTTTTGCAGGGATCTAGACGGCAGGTGGGCAGTGGGGCAGAGATTGATATTTGGAAGGACCCATGGCTGCCACGCCCTTCTACCTTTCGGGTTATCTCACCAAAACCCACCGGTTGCGCTATTACCAAGGTGAAGGAGCTTATTCTTGACCACCCCCGACGCTGGAATATTAGCCTTCTATCTAATCTCCTTTACCCTCCCGATGTGGATGTGATCCGAACTCTTCCGCTGAGCTTCCATCACAGGGTCGACGCTCTTATTTGGCATTTTGACAAAAAAGGTCAATTCACTGTCAAAAGTGCTTACAAGGTAGCCCGTACGGTTCTTGATCCCCAGACTCTGGCGTCGTCATCAACTGGGAATGGTTTTAGTAAAGGGTGGACTGCTATTTGGAAGGCAAAGATTCCAAGCAAGATAAAATTGTTTTGGTGGAAAGCTTGCACTGGCATTCTACCAACCAAGGACAACTTGTGGAAACGAAAGATACATTTGGATACATGCTGTGACTTATGTGGGGCTGAAATGGAATCTACTTTGCATGTGTTATGGCATTGCCCATTTGCAAGAGGAGTCTGGGCTTGTGCTTTAATTGGCAGCGGTGGCATCTCTCAACAATATCACCATGTGCATGATTGGGTCCTCTCATGTATTGACCATTTATCATATGCTAATTTGGACCTCTTTTTTGTTACTGGTTGGGCAATCTGGGAGGCTCGAAATGGCAAGCTATGGAATAACCAAACACCCAAACCAGAATTTACAAGCTCTAGTGCTGCTGTTCGTCTACTTGATTTTGTTCGTGCTCGGCCCCAGGGGGCTGCTCTTGGTCGGGGCTGTTATGCGCCTCAGCCTTGGACAAAACCTTGCGCTGGAAGTCTAAAAATTAATGTGGACGGCTCTTGGACAGCAAGTAATACATATGGGGGTGTGGGAATAGTGGTGCGCGATTCTAATGGCAAGTTTGTTGCGGGCAGAGCGTTGCATGTGGACAATGTTTTCTCAGCTTTACAGGTTGAAGCAATGGCAGCTCGCGAAGGAGCAATTTTGGCGGTGGAAGGGGATTTTAATAATGCAATTTTTGAGAGTGATTCTCTCCAGATCGTGTCAGCAATCTGAAGTTCTTCTGTTGATAGGTCCAATGTGGGCCCAGTGGTGGAAGACACTAAGGCACTGCTAACCCAGATCACTGGGGATGGTTTTACCCATATCCGTCGGGTTGCAAATGGAGCGGCTCATCGTCTGGCACGTTATGCTTCCCATACTGGCACTATGACTACTTGGTTTGAAGAACCGCCAGATCTTCTAGTTGATGTCCTGTACGAGGAGTGTAACTTGTAGTTTTTTACGGCCGTGCTACTAGGGGGATGGGGGGGGACTCTATCGGAGGCAAGGTTCCTCCTCCCGCTTGCGGTTGAGGAGGTAGGCTACTTCGTAGCCGACGACCACTACGCTTCGCTCGGTGTAGAGTACTCGCCTAATCCTCTAGGGCTTGTGCCCGATTTTTGTACTTGTTACTTTTTTTCCTCATTAATAAATACACTATCGCCCTTGTGTTTCAAAAAAAAAATTGATTTTTTTTTAATTTTTTAATTCATATTATATTATTTTATAGTATTTAATTATTTTAAAATATAAAATGACTAATTTTACTCTCATATTTAACGGCAAATTGGATGAAATGTTGAGATTTAGGCAATAGGGAAATTGGTGATAAAAATTAGTTCGTGTACTTAATTTTTCAAAATAGAAGTTAAGGGTGCAAATTGAAAGTAGCATATAAGTTTAGGGAGTAAATCGACAGTTAATCCAAAATAGAAAGAAAGAAAAGAAAGTTGAGCTTCTAAGTTCTAACCGAAAAATAAATATAAAATAAAAATAAAGTAACAGAAAAAAAGTTTATATGGTCCCACCAAACGTTCACTGGCTAGCTACATAAAATGCAGGTGAGTACACCAATGGGTACCACAGTGGTGGTGACTTCCCCTTTCCCCCATGGCACCCCGTTCAAAACCCCATGTGTGTACATTGGTGCTTGAGCCCCCTCCCCTTAGAGTAGCGTATCATTTTATTTTATTTTATAAAAAATGTAGGTGAGTACTTATGCAGTAAACACATTAATATTTTAAGTAAATTTAGGTTTTAGCAAAAAAAAAAATTTTCACTTTTGGAAAAAGCCAAAGCTTTTTCAAAAAAGACAGAAAAACCTCTCAACTTTCAAATCAAAGACATGCAAATGTAAATGATTCTTTAGGAAATCCAAAAATAAATAAGGTCAATTTTGTCAATTTTGACTTCTTTTAAAAAATTTCTCTTCAGACCCTCAGATTAATGATGCAGATGCCATGTCCCAAAAGTCATCACTTTGTCTTTGCCTTCGTTCAATCATTTTCAAGCAAGCAGCTAAAAATTGTAAAAAATAATAATAAATGAATTTTTTATTTATTGGTGAAAATATAAATCAGCTTTTGAAACCCTCTGTATAAAGCTAGGTTGGCCCTTTTTTGGTTCACAAACAAAAAGCTGAGCTGCTCTTTTTAGGTTTGAGAATTGTAAGATGTCTGAGCAGGGGAGAGGCAGTGCAGGAACCATTGGAGTGGTGGTAGTTTTATGCCTAATGGTTCAGTTGGGATGCAGCAATGCAGCCACTTATAGGGTTGGACCGTCTGGTGACTGGAGCCTGGAGCCTGGAGCTATTTTTCAAATGGCCCTTGAAAATGTAAACAAACGGGCCCTAAATCGTTTGTGTTTTTGATATATTTGGTTTACAGATCCCACGTGGGTTTCTTTGTAATTTAGTTCTTTTTTTCAAAAAAAGACAAAATAAGCTACAACACATGCATGTGGTTGGTAATTGTGGAAATGGTCAAGTCGGTTAACAAAGCCCATGATATGGAGCTTTCGTACTAAGATATTGTACTAACTTAATTCTAGATGCAAGTATAAAGTTGTGGCTGGAGGAATGCGATTTAGGGCAAGTCGGTCGACTTAGGCTCGATTGTGTTTGTGTTTTTTTTTTTTTTTTTTTTTTTTACTTTATTTTAAATTTAAGCAGTTTAAGTTGTTTGGTAAAAATAAAATATCTCAATTATTTTAAAAGTAGTGTCATTTTCATACATATTTTAAAAGCAGGTTATGCATTGTTTTTCAAAGTTGTTTTCAAAAAAAGTAGAGATGAGCCTTTAATTAATTTTTTTAATTCCCAAAATACCATAATTCATTTTGAAAAATGACACCACCTCCACTTCCACTTCCACATCCAACTCCATCACCTCCACTACCACATTCACCACCTCCACAACTACCACCATAGCCACCACTACCACAACCACCACATCCACATCCACCACCACCTACACAACCAACACCACCACCACAACCACGCTGCCACCGCAACCTCCACAACTGCCATCCTCACCACCACCACTACCACAACCACCAACTCCACCTTCATCACCACCACCACTAGCACTACATGATTAGTACATAACATTTTCAACATCATGTCTATTTTAGTCATTATTTACAGTTACAACAATTTTAATTAAAATTTACCAAACGGTTTTGATACTATTTTTTGTACTAACATCAATTTAAAAATATTGTTTACCAAATATAGAGCTGTTTTACTTTACAGCTAATTATTATTAAAGCACAACAGAATCAACTTTTTTTTAAAAATGACAGCAATTCCAAACTAGACCTTAGGCAAATCGGGTGCTCCACCTTTATTATAACTAGGCTTCAAGCCTCATCTCATATGAATAAATCATGGACAAAAGCAATCAAGCAAGAAGCCAAGAGCTATAAAAGGCCGATTAGACTATTGTCTTATAAACTCACAAGAAGGCCAGTATCGTGTCTTATAAACCCAATACGACGAATAGGCCAATAGCCTATAGTTCTATATCCACCAAGCCGTGTACTCTCTCTTCATTCTAACACTTCTATTATATCCAAGTGCTTATTGTGTTTTTTTTGGAAATAGATGTCATCGAGCTTATGTTGGAAAATTTGGTTTATGGATGCTATTTTCTGCAAAACATCATATGAAATAATTATTAGAAAATTGTAATTCACATTGATAAGGTAGATTTAATAAGATCAATGAAATTACAGCAAAATACTTATCTTTTGGGATGTAGAAGTTGGTCTCCATTGGTACTTGAGTAGAATAATATGTTATGTTTTCCTATTTAGATCGGTGCACTAGATACTAAGTCATATTAGGTTTGATAAGAGTTTAAATTAAGTTGTATCTTGAGCCCAAAATCCAGTGAAATAAGGAAGGGTTTTGAGGCCAATTAAGGGGTCCTATTATATTTATTTATGCGTGAACTGATTAAGTGGGTTTGGAAGATAAGTCAAGTCGGCCCTCGGTGATGAGTGGAGACGACTTGACCTAGCCCTATATAAGCTTAAGGCCCTGCTCTCATCAGACATGTTCTCTAAACCTATTCTTATTATAAAAAAAAGAGCTGAAACAGATTCTGAGAGAGAGCAGAAGTCTTGAGCTGTTCCTGTCTTTGCTAGGATTGCTGCTGCAACGGATTGGATGAATTCAGAAGCTGTGTACTCAAGGAAGATGGTTCCAGGTATGTCTTCATGTCTTTATACGTGTTACTGTTTGTGTGAAAGCTCTTGTTTGTATATTAAGGAAATCTAACATAATAGTTTTAGATTGAGGCGTGTAGTCACTGTCCTTAAGAGTAGATTTCGCCCTCGAAGACAATGTCTCGGTGTAGCAAGGTTGTATGGCAGACTACCCTCCAGGATACAACAACCTATGACCCTCATATGCGTACACTCGCAATACTTGGATCGGATGAACAACTTGAATCTTTCCCTTGATAAAAGAAAACAAATTGGAACACAAACTCAAGAATGTGGAGGAGAAAATAATGAAGAAATGTGCCAAAAATCTCTCACCAACGTTTTTCTTTTGGTGTATATATAAGCTTACTTACTCCAGTGAATGTTGGGTTATTAACCAAGCAATTAAACCACATTTGCACGTTAAGAACAAAACTGAAGGCTACAAATAGTAAAATATGATCCTAATTAAGCAATTAACTCACGCAAAAAAGCTTTCGAATCAAATCCTTCAACGACTATCGTAAAACCAAAGGCATTTTACTTATTTAAATGATAAAATAAATTGATACAAAAAGTTAACAGAAATAAACCAATTAAAACCACAAAGGAGATATCAAAACCGACAACAAATTAATGTCCAATTTATTCAAAACCAATACGAAAGAAGTTCATAATTTTCATAAAATAGAATTAAGGGGTTCTTACATCTAGGTTGAAATTGGTACTTAGGTGACGAGGGGTAAATTTAATGACACAAACAAGACACAACAACACAACAATCTTCACACACTTTAAACCTTGACCAAATACACATATGACTAGTCAACTGCTAGTCATGAACAACCACAATCAAGAGAACACACAGAGCATGCCACAAAGTACCTGCAACCCTAGAAGATTACTAGTGACAACCTAGGCACTCAGAAGGACCCGTCAATCTAAGCATCCCCTGTGCTAGCAAAAACTATGGTGAAAGTGTGTGAAATCATCATTATCATGTAAACATCAAACAACAGATAAAGATGACTAGTCAATCACCAAGAACACAAACCCATAAAAATTACAGATATGCAAAACAGATTTTATTCACCCAGAAACCCACCATTGGGAAAAACTGGGAGTCATCAACCGAGCAGGCACTCCACTAAGTAGAAAAAGATTCTTACAAAGGAAACACAACCAAGCTCAAGAAATACCTAGATCTATTTAGGAATGTGAGCAATACCTCCTTTGTGCAATCTTCTTCTCCAACTTAGCAAAACTTGAAGCTCAGTTCTTCATGGCAATGGCAGCTCCTTCTCCAGCTCGTTCATCCCATGACACTAGCTTGCAAGCTCCAACACAGACCGAAACCAATATTTGAATTCAAAGGAGAATGATCAATTTTTTCAAGAAACCATACTCTTGAAGAAATCAGTCTTGAATCTGACCTAGATATAAATGAGAGATGATTTAAGTAGCTAGATGCATATTCAGGTTTCAAAAGCAGTTTTTCAAAAAGAAATCAATTGGAAAAACTCATAGATGAAATAAGATGGTTCTCTCGAGGAAGAAGAAGCGAAAGATGGCAAGCCAAACTTTCCAAAACTTCCACCCAAAATAGACAACCGCCAAATGAGCAAAAACATAGCCTTTACAGACCAAAACATTCCTTAGGTCAGAAACCCACATGGCAGCTGAGAGAGAGAAAGAAGAATAGGACAAAACAGTTTGTTATCTAGCTGAAAATCCTACAGAGCAAGGATGACTAGTCATATGAGAAACGGATGACTAGTCATCATTTTATGAAGACTGTTTAATGTAATGATATGCAATGCACAATACCTTTGTCAACTTGCTTGAACCTCCATAGAGCATAAATTAGAGAAGAACTCCAAGAAAGGTTTTCATTAATCTAAACTTGAGCTTGATGAATAACAATACACATCCTATTACAAAGTTGTCAAAGGAAGCCAAAAGAAAGTAACGAAAACCATACATTAACATAGGTACAAAACGATTAGCTGTCATTGGGTTTAGTCCATGCGTTTTTGGTTTTAGATGTAGGTCCTTTGACTTTTATTACTCTTTTTATTGTGTCGATTTTACCCTTTGAGGTACATAAGGAAAACATTGAAAATCTAAATTTAATGAATTATTTACTTGTAATTAAATTTCAGAATTTAAATTTGGAATTCTTTCATTGATAATATTTACCTAATATATGGGTAAAATACAAATTAATCAATTGAAGTAAAGGCCCAAATATTATACTAATCAATTAGGCAAGCAACCACATTAAATTATGTACCTAACATACAGGTAAATAGTGTTCTTATTAGCAACGAAAAAAACTTAGTGATAAATTGTGTTACCTATAAGTCATGAACATAAATTAGAATACTACCTATAAGTTATGAACATAAATTAGAAGACTACCTATAAGTCAGATACAAAAATAGACAAATAAAATTGTATGTTACCTATAAAAATGTACATAAAATACTATTATTCATTGTCTAAAATATGAAAAAACAAATATATACCTATGCAATAGGCAATATGACAATATACCTACACCATAGGATAATTTATCTACAAGAGTATATACTATACCTCTACCATAGGGTGAACAAAAATAAAAATAATGGCATATAAATTCTCATCTTACTCATTTTAGACAATAGGGATATAATAGGAACAAAAAAATTTAAATACAAAAGTTTGAAACAATATGTCAAAGATGGAATGTAATCTACGTGGCAAACTAGTCAAGAGACTTATATCAATAAACAATAATTCGAGGATTAGACCCAATTATTAGTTGGATTTTTGGACTTCTATCAACTTTTCTATATAAACCAAATATAATTAAACCAATAGGTTGGATTTTTGGACTATACCCAATTATTGGTTGGATTTTGAAATACTTGCAGAAATTCCAACAGTTCAGTCATAACCAACTCTTTTACAACAAGATCAATGCCAACGAGGAGGTAGTTTGGAGATTCAACTATGTCGTCAGACCTCAACTCTAGCTTTGCCCTTTGTCGGAGCTTACCACTAACACCCAACCCAAAAATTTTCTATAAACAAAAAAGAAAAAGAAAAAATTTAACCAAAAATGTTTACATGGTTTTGCTCATTATGATTTAACTAAGTACTTGTTGATGATGACAGATAACTCATGCATGCCTATTACCAGAAACAGGTTGACGAACTGAAAGAAACGGTGAGGAGGGAAGTGTTCATAAATCTTAATGCTGGAGGTGATGATGGTTTTGCACATCAGCTCAAGTTAATTGATGCAATCCAGCGTCTTCGTGTGGCATACCATTTTGAAAGAGAGATCGAAGAAGAATTGGAACACTTTTGAAAGAGAGATCCAAATGGCATATACCATGGAAACAAATCATTCTTGTAGATTCTAAATTGCTCATTGGTGTTTACAAAGACATCAATCTTCAGGAAATGCAAATGGGTCTTGACATCAAAGCTCGACAGATGCACAAGGCATAACCTGCTAGCACCTCCATCAACTTCATACATTTCAACTCTAAAAAATGATGGCAAGTTTCTCTAACTCTATCTTTCTGGTGTTGGTAACTGAGACCAGTTTTAGGTATACATTGACACTTGCACAAATGCACTCCAAGTGTTTGATGAAATGGCAGAGTGAGTTCTTGAGATTTCATTGGTTTGATAATTCCAACCATTTCGATCCCTTAAGCTTCCAAAATCATAGTTTTAGCTCCAAACCTGTGCTAGGAACAATTGCCTACAAACTCCTCACTAAACACATTAAACTAACCAATTTCATACAAAAACAAAGCAAATATAGATAGATTATATATGCAAGATATTAATCTATCAAGTAATATATAAGTAAATGAAAGTAAAAGGACAATGACATTCACTTAAATACTGAAAATGGAAATAAGGTAATCTGTACACCTGGAGTGCACCACCACCAGCTGAGCAAATGAGCAATTTGAAGCACCTACAATGATTTTTTCAATGAGGAAAAGTGCAGCTGCACCTCCTTGCGCCTTAATAGGTCTGTCACTGGAGGCAGTAATGGCGAAACCACATAAAGGGCTCTGGTGGCCTATAGCCCAGGGAAGGTTTTGGGGAAAAACAAAAAATAACCTATACATCCCACTATTATTTTTGTTGCGTATAGTATACAACCCGCTATGTTAACCTATATACATATATAACAATACCCAACCAATGCCAATACTTTAAAGGTCTTCCTTGTTTGTGGACACTGTTAAAAATTGTCCCAACACCGACGATAGTGCTCAGCCCTAACTCTTCAATTTTAGCCGTTTGTTAATATGCTCTAATTGCATTGTTCTTGTGCTTATAACTAATATATATGTGAAACTTAATTATTTATATTTTCTCAATTTGCATTTGCAAAGATTTTTTGTGCATTTATTATGTATTTATTTTATGTTAAAACTTATTGAAATTAGTCGGTGGAGCTATAAACTAGTAGTAGGTAGATTAATTAATTTAATCAATTTCTTTATAAAAAAAAAAAAAACAAAAAAAAAAAAAAAAACTATGGTGCAAAACAAAAAAAAAAAAAAAAAAAAAAAAAAAAAAAAAATTTTAAGCTAATAATTTAGTATGCCCACCCGTTGAAAATATTTTAGTTCTGCCCTTGTGACACAGCATGGATATAATGTTTCATGTATACATATTATAAGAACTTAATATTATATGTGAAGAGGGATGTGACTAACTACTTTGGCTATTATCACTCAATTTCGTATATATACAGTTTATCTCTCGAGCACGTTTGTTCTTTAAGAAAGAATGGACTTGTCAACAAAATCTCACTTCTACTCAATTCTCTTTAGTTTTGTTCTCATATGGCTATCAGTGCACCCTGAAATGTTTATATAGCTTAGAGTTTAAGTTTTTAGTCTCGGATTGGTTGAATATTGCCAGGAACCTAACCCAAGCTTTAAATGATCATTCTATAACTTAAATAATCAACGGTATTAACAAATAAGACCAAAGTTGAATAAAATTTAATATAAGTGAGACTTCGTCAATTTATCCGTCCATTAAGAAAGAACATACATCCTATAAAGAGAATCTTTTATTATATATATATATATATATATATATCAATCCCTTTCTATTGAAGGATTCGTTAAATAATTTTATTTGAGGAACACCCTTTAGGGTCCCCTAGAAATATTTTTTCAACGATTCAAACAATCTATTTTTTAAGTCTGCATTTATAGATCATCCTTGCAAAAATTAGACAAATCGGAAACCGTTTCGACATCCAATTGTGTCTTACAAAATCAATGAACACGGTATTTCAAGAAAGTACTAAAATTTCAATAACTCAATTGAGTGGTCAAACGATATTGGATTCAAGTGCTTTTTTGTAGAGATGATCTTTGAATGAGTATCTACAAAGTAGATGTTTGGATTAATGAAATACAATACGGAGTGGGCCCTACAAGGGTGTCCCTCAAAATAAGCTAATTTGAGGGATCCTTCAATGGAAGCTCTGTGTGTGTGTGTGTGTGTGTGTATATATATATAATTATTCTTTTATGTAGAACGTTCAATCTTCTTTAAGACATGAAATGTTGAGAAGATCTCACTTCCACTCAAGTTTTTATAACTTTGATCTCATTTATGTGCGTTCTCAATTTAACAAGAATTGGGAATCTGGTTTACGAAATAGGAGATGGCTTAAAACATGTTGGAAAACTTATGAAAGATATTGTCACTTCACTTTTTCTTGATCTTGTTACACTTTAAGTTGGATTCTTTGCAATCCTTGTAATTTATGGCTACCTCAATAATAATAAAAAAATGCAAGGAACTTGTATAACTCAAGTAATTAAGAGCATTTATCCTTGCATCTCCTTGGTCAAAGGCTCATTTTTGGGCTAGACCAAAATTTAATTTGAAGAACGTGGGAATTCTTGAATAACTTGTTTCAAATTTGACTAGCGCTAATTAGGCCTGTAAAAACCGTTATAAAGGAGGAAAAGTATCAATTTTTTTTCTCCTATGAATGATTATAGAAGATGATTTGTTTGGCTTGACAATGGGTGGTGTCGTGTCGGGTTTGTGCCGTGTCAGAATAATAAACGTGTCAAGCATGCTCAACCCAAACCCGACCCATTTAATAAACATGTCATGTCGGGTTCAGATCGTCTTAAACAGGTTACCTGGTTAATAACCTGTTTACTCATTTCTAGTTACCAATAGATTCGTACACTTGCGGGTATTTATTGTTGGATGATTAGCACATTAATTTGTGCCTTTAAAATTTAAAGAAAAATTAAAAAAAATTAGAAAATATAGAAAAATATTTATTTCACATTTAAAAAAAGAGAGGAAAAAGAGTACTACATTAATTTTTTTAAAAACAACAACATCATGGCGCGTTTCCTGATTCCGCAATAGGAGACTTTAGTTTGGCCCTCTAGATCTCATCTCTTGGTTTTTCTCGCACCGTTTCTTGGGGCTCATCACTTGAACTTTGAAAGGCCACTTTCAAGTTTAGCAAACCTCGGATCTCCTTGCGCATGTTTACCCGGTCGATCTAAGGCCTTCAGCTGCTCTTGCATGTCCTTAGAGTAAAAATTTACCATCTTTGATAGCTTTTGATTCTCTTCCTGCAATATTTCAAGCTAGTATTGCGTCTCCTCCAAAGTATTTGCCCTCTCTTTTCAATGATTAAGTAATGGTAGTAGGGTTTGCGTACCTTCTACTAACAGTTTTCCACCAATGATAAGCGTTCCCCTTAAGAAGAAAGGCGGCCAACCGAACCCTATCTCCATCCGGACACTGTAAAACCTCAAATACCAGCTCAACGTCCGTAAGCCAAGTTTCAGCTTCAACGTGGTCAGCACTACCCCAGAACTCCTTTGCTCCCATCGCCTTGACCTTCTTTATGTCAAAGCCCTCAACATTACGTCTCTCTTGTATAGCTGTAGTCACAGTTCGGGTGAACTGATCGAGTACATGACGTATATCGAGCTCATTCTTTCCAGCTTGCTGGAGGTGGAGAAGGTGGCGGAGATGGAGGTGGAGGATTCACCCCCCAAGCAATCTCTCGTCTTAGCACGTCGAGGAGGCATGATTCTATACGAAGGAAACAAGAGAATCGTTAGTTGCAGAGTGCATAGAAAGCTTGAAAGTTGAAGGAAATGAACCTAATGCTCTGATACCAAGCGGACAGGACCTGCCCCGGATTCCTCAGAATCCGAGACGAATCCCATTGTATTTTCGACATCATCCCGATGCCGGGCCCACTTACTACAAACCGAGACTTTTTATAGAAATTTCGGCAGAGTCTCCCTTGAAAAATGGACATTTCCCAAATTTATCAACCTGTTAAAAACACAGTTTATATCCCAACAGGTAGCATGCATCAGAAATATTTAAATTAGTATACATAGATGGCCTCCGGCCTCACAAATCAAACCCTAGTACGGGCGATAACAGAGTAATCTAAGAATTTAGTTTACAAAAGAAAAGGAAGTTCAACATAAATAAAATGAATAAAAGAGCCCTACGAAAGCTCAGAGTTGGAAAGCTCGCGACCCAGCTCTGCTGCTCTGTTCAGTCAACTACTGGCTGGGGGGCACAAAACAGGAAAGTGTGAGTGGACAAAAACAAAATTTAGTTCAGTTGAAACCAACATAATATAACCCTACCGTTTAGAAAACGATGCCAAAAATCATATGCGTTCAAGACCATATCTAAATCCGAAAACCCAATAATGAAACTTTATTACTCAACCCATCCAAACTTTTCCTTGTTATACCAAAACAAAACTCTCAAAACCCGTGCCCATCGGCACGGCGAGCGAGGAAGTATCCTCACCTATAAATAAGAACGAAAGAATAGACATATATAAATACATATATAAGTATATTTAAATTAAGAGATATAATATATATATATATATAGGTAACATCACCTAGTTTGTACTAGGGAAACAATCCAATTAGGGGATTGTTTGACTAGTCCACATGGAAGAATCCTCAACTGACCATTTGGCTAGGGAACAAGCCGTCCAACTGGGACTAAGCTCACTAGCACGTACAGTAGAATCCTCAATACTTGTACGCCTGTTACAAGTCTTACGCGTGTAGACTACCCCGCTAAGGGTCTATGAAACACCTCATCAAGGGTGCCCAGGTTCTAACATATCCAAGTATCTCAATAATCCAATTTCACTCCATAATTTCCGTAACCAGGGAGGTACATAGAATAGTGTGTATAGCACTTCAAACTGACATACTATAATCTCAATTTTTTCCAAAATCTCACATCAACACCCACGTACTCCACACATAACCAAACATGGATAGAAATTCTCAAAATCCAAATATATAAATTCAAGATACTCAAATACGCCAAAACCCAAATATATTTCAAAGTAAATAGAAATATCAAGTTCAACATTTAATAAAAATCATAAACTCATTAAATCATCATGCATAGTTTTCCATCATAAAATCAATGCTTATTATTTGAAAACAACGTCCACTCACAAGTAATCCCACGCTGCTTGACCCTGAGAGGGTCCCGCTTGATGCGTATGCATGGTCAGAGTACGGGATTAATATAAAACGCTTCTAACAAGAAGAAAAAACGAAGGAGGGGCTGTTTGCGGAGAGAGAGAGAGAGGAGAGAGAGAGAGAGAGAGAGAGAGAGAGAGAGAGAGAGAGAGAGAGAGAGAGAGAGATGAGAGGGTTATCCACTGCCGTGCTCACAGGGTTTCTATGTTCTGCCTTATCTACTGCCATTCTCGCAAGGTTTAGTTAGCCCACCTGTTGAAAAAATTTTAGTTCCGCCTTTATGACTGTAACTGTATGCATTTTGTGATTTTCTTTTGGCTTCCCTTGACAATTTTGTAATAGGACAATCATTGTATTTTCTCAAGCTCTAGTTTAGATTAAGAATTACATCTCTAAGTGTTCTTATCTGGCTTCATTATGATGGAAAACAATGCGTTTGACATATGTATGTTTTGCATTGCATTACATTGCATTTTTTAAAGGATTTTTCGCAGCTATGGTCCCTCAACTATACCCGTAATTGCATTTGGGTCACTGAACTCAATTATTAGCTGCAGAGGTCACTCAACTATGTGTTTCATTGCACCAGCAGTCCTTCCGTCAAATTCATTAGTTTTTTCCGTTTAAAATGATGACGTGGCAAGATCTATCCAATTATTGATAGGGAAATGTGACTTTTCAGTTAAGATTATTTGTAGCAATGATCCCTCAACTATACTTGGAGTTAAATTTTGATCACTTAACTCCAAAAAATAGTTATAGAGGTCACTCAATTAGGTGTTGTGTTGCACAATTAGTCCCTTCCGTTAGAGAGACTTGATGGTAGGGACTAACAGTGCAACGAAACACATAGTTGAGTGACCTCTGCAACTAATATTTGAGTTCAGAGACACAAATGCAATTACGGGTATAGTTGAGGGACCATAGCTGCGAAAAACCTTTTTCTAAATTCCTGAAGATTATGACTAGTCATCTTTCCACCATATGACTAGTCAACTTTTGCGTTAGTAAGGTTTTCCAGCTCACTATTCCTAACTGGATCCTACCCACTTTTTTGTCATATTCTGCGAAATTCTCAACTGCCTTATATGATTCTAACCCAGGATTTTTGGTGTAAAAACGCATGCATTCCTCATTTGGCAGCCGTCTCTTTTGTGGGTAAGTTTTGGAAAGCTTTTTAGAAAACTCTCTTCTTCTTCCTCAAGAGTGAACCTTCATATTTTTCATCTTTGATTTTTCCAAATTGATTTTTCGAAAATTGCATTTGAAATATGAAAACCTCATCTTGCTAGATCAAATATATATCTACGTCAGATTCAAGATTGATGTTTTCAAGAGTATGGTTTCTTAAAGAAATTGGTCATTTTCCTTTGAATCCAAATTTTTGGTTTCTGTCTGAGTTTGAGCTGACTAGCTGGTGCCATGGGATGAAAGAGCTGACGAAAGAGCTGCCATTGCCATGAATGACAAGCTGCTGGTTTTGCTAAGTTGGAGAAGAAGATTCCACAAAGGAGATCTAGCTTATCTTCCTAAATAGATCTAGGATTTCTTGAGCTTGCTCGTGTTCCTTTGTAAGAATCTTCTTTGCCTTGTGGATCGTCTGGTCGGTTGATGACCCCCAGTTTGTCTCAATTGTGGGTTTCTAGGTGAACAATTTCTGATTTGCTGCTTTGTTATTTTCTGGGTTTATGTTCTTGATAGTTGACTAGTCATCGCATGATGTTCATGCATTTCTGGGTTTGTGTTCTTGCGGTTGACTAGTCATCACTATCTGATGTGTGCTGCTTATTTGATTATGATTTGTTCTTGATAGTTGACTAGTCATCGCATAATGTTCATGCATTTCTGGGTTTGTGTTCTTTCACTTGACTAGTCATCACTATCTGCTATGTGCTGTGTATTTGATTATGATGTTTTCAAACATTTTCACCATAGTTGTTGCTAGCACATGGGATGCCTAGATTGACGAGCCCTTCTGAGTGCCTGGGATGTCACTAGTAATCTTCTAGGCTTGCAAGTACAAATTGTTATACTCTGGGTGTGTGTTCTTCGTTATGGTTTCTCATGACTAGCAATTGATTAGTCATAAGTATATTTGGTTAAGGATTAAACTGTGTGAAGATCACTGTGTCTACTTGAATAGCATTTAAATTTACCCTTCGTCACCTGTGTACCAATTTCATTGAGGCAGCATGTCACATGATAATAATAGACCGACAAAGAGAAGAAAAACTATTTATTCATTCTTCAAAAAAAGTGGTAACGATAACAAGGATACACCTTCTGCATCTGATGTTGAGACTTCAATTCCTGAGGAACTTACTCAACTCGGATCCCAAGTAGTTGAACAATGTGTTTGATTTGATATTTATTTATATTTTGTACTTATTTGTGTTATATTTGCCAATGTGGTCTTGTTGGATTTATAAATTTTTATTTACTTTTTAGTTCCAAGAGAAAAAAAGGCTTATAATATATCTCCTATAAAAAATAAAATTTAACCTACCCTTATAAAAATTTCTGGGTCCGCCATCTCCTCGGTCAAACACTCATACTGCTTCCAATGTTGATTGCTACATGAAGCAATATGGGGTCTCAGAGCAAGAGACAGTTGATGTTTTTAAGAAACAGATTATGGATTTGTGGGAGGACATAAACGAGGAGTTTCTCCGACCAACTGCTGTGCCGATGCCTGTGCTTAAGCGGGTTCTTAATTTAACACGAGTGGCTGATCTTCTATACAAGGGGGAAGATGGCTTCACACGTGTTGGGAAGGTCACAAAAGATAGTGTTGCTTCAGTCTATATTAATCCTGTGCCGCTGTGAGTTGGATAAGATGGCCTTTTGTACAAGCATGGATTTGAGTCTTTTTCAGGGAAGAGGGTGTTGGGCCCGCCAAGTTTGTTTGGAATAATGTGTGGATTGTTTCTTTCTCCTAAGATTTTTACCTTTTATTTTGCATGCGTGTATCTTCTTATAGATATGTTTGGCTAGACGAAGTTCAACTTTTAATAAAGAAATGTTAGTTCTTGAGTTTTGATTTATCTGTCTTCTTTAATCATTTTCAATCATTCATTCCTGAATGGTAGAAGATCATCCAAAATACTGGGTCCCTCCTCAGTTTCTCTAGAGCACAATTTTTTGTGCAGTGATCGCCTTTAAAAGTTGTCACATTTGGGTTTTTTTTTTAGTACAAGCTATAGCCTAAACTATATGGAAGGGAGATTTCTCACACACACAACTATGATGTTATTGGGGTTCAAACTTGAGACCTTTAGTCTGCAAATTAAGACCTTTTTTTCACTAAGCTAGACTTCGGTGGCCACATGTAGCTTTTAATATTACAGAAGTAGGCAGTGAGCCCGCCCCCTTGTCCCCTACTCCGCACTACCATCTCCTCCCTCTCTTTTCCATCGTACTATTTTTCTCATCCGCCAAACAAGAAATCAAAGGAATCTCAAATTTTGAGTCAAAATCCTAAAATTCTTTGAAATTAAATTTTACCATCAAATAAACAAAAAAAATTTAAATTGAAATTAGTTCTAGAAACAATATTTTTCTACAACAACAGACGTTTTTTTTTCTTCTTGAAATTTAAATTTCAGTTCTATCAAATCAATTAGCATAGTGATTAAATTGAGAAAAATAAAATCACCCTAACCGAAATTGAAATCAGTAAAAACAATATAAACGAACGAGAAAGAAAGAAAGAGCACAAAAACAACCAGGACCATGTTAGCAACTACAAAAACATAACCCAACGAGAAATTATATGACCTTTCTAGAATGTAAGTTATTTGATCTTTGTGTGTCTCTTTGTATTTCTTCAATCAATAGTGAAAATACCCAACACTCAGTGGCCATAGGCCGATTATGGGTGAACCACGTAATCTCTTGTGTTGTTTGATCGAATGTTCTTGCTTAATTTCTATTTACAAGTGCAATCCCTAAGCACTAGAACTCGTTCTAGGGGATGACCATCTTGGTCATGCCAAGTTGGTTTGGAAGGATTGCGGACCTTGATATCGAAGAGGTCATTTTTTGTTGAACCAAATTTAGGCATCAACAGTATATACATACAACTTTTTTTTTTCTCCTTTAAGATATAACGGACTCGTATGAAAAATCTCACTTCAACTCAATTTTCTTCAACATAGATGTGGCCCATATTGTTTCTAATTAGTAACATGGAAAAGTACTGGTTATGATTGTCATATTGTTAGGTGATTACTAATTTAATTCACGTATTATATTTAAGAATATAATATTATAAATTAAATACATATAAAAACATGAGTTTAACATTATATGGTAGTGTGAATACATATTGCAACACGTGTTTAAATAAATATAATAACATGAGTTGTAATATCTCCACCAAACTCAGTTAATTAGTTTCTAATTAGTCATGGAAAAAAACATGTTTCGAAAGCTTAAATTTTTTTATACATAAATAGAAGAGCAAAAGTAAGACAAACATATGCAACACGTGTTTACTGTGGACATTAACATATGTATATATCTTTCTCCCACCCCGAAAAAAAAAAAAAAAAAAAAAAAAAAAAAAAAAAAAAAAAAAAAAAAAAAAAAAAAAAAAAAAAAAAAAAAAAAAAAAAAAAAAAAAAAAAAAAAAAAAAAAAAAAAAAAAAAAAAAAAAAAAAAAAAAAAAAAAAAAAAAAAAAAAAAAAAAAAAAAAAAAAAAAAAAAAAAAAAAAAAAAAAAAAAAAAAAAAAAAAAAAAAAAAAAAAAAAAAAAAAAAAAAAAAAAAAAAAAAAAAAAAAAAAAAAAAAAAAAAAAAAAAAAAAAAAAAAAAAAAAAAAAAAAAAAAAAAAAAAAAAAAAAAAAAAAAAAAAAAAAAAAAAAAAAAAAAAAAAAAAAAAAAAAAAAAAAAAAAAAAAAAAAAAAAAAAAAAAAAAAAAAAAAAAAAAAAACAACACCATTTGGTCTACCATTTCCATACTAAGCTCCCTATCTGGTAATTGAGAGGAATCACATCTCTGAGTTTAGTCACTAATAACATATGGGAAGTACATATGAGGGTGTTGGGAGGTCGATGTGATAAATGTCCAAAATGTCTCTCAAATAATGTCCAATTTTCAAACTGGAGCTGCTAATTACGTGCAAAATGGCAATGGCATGCGGGTAACCACTTCACAAATGCAATTACACTCTGTTTGGTAATTGCAAGTCACTATCCAAATCTCATTCCGTTACATGTGCTACAAGACTTTGGGTCCTAATTTACACAATTTTTCCTGTTAATTAGAACGTCATGATTCACCTTAAACTATAAATTCATAATCGCCTAAACTTAGAAACCAACTAGGACTGGCATAACGATGCATAAAATACGAAGACTTCAAGAAATTTGAACTTGTTCTAGGTAACATGTAATTGCCAAACAGGGAGATACTAATTGCATAAATAAATGCAATTGCAAGCTAATAAACGCAATTATTTTATCTTTGTTTGCTAGTTGCAAATTACTTATAATTTCCCACTAACCTTCAAAGACAAAATCGTAATTTAAAGGGTGGACTAGCAACATAATGAGCAATTCCCAAACCGGGAGACATTAATTGCAGGTTTTTCAATTGCACTTGCATTACAGTATGCACTTACTATTGCCTATTTGGCAATTGCATTGCGGTATGCAATTACCGTCACCTATTTGGCGATTGCATATATAGTCTGTGAAACATATGTTCAAATTTCTCGAAGGCCCTTGTGCTTGGGTGTATAAAATGGGTCATTCCAGGTTGTAATTTTGGTGCAAAAACTCGTAAATTGGAACCCAAATCTTGTAATCTAGGAGATTAAGGATCTATTTTACACATTTGTGGAACGCTTACATCCAAAAAATTGTAGTACGATTCCATATGTTGTAAAGTGTTGCATTTACAAAAATAGGGACCACGTTTGCATCTCCAAGGTCCAGCATTGCCTTAACATTGTAAGGGAGATCCCTTCTAATATAAATTATAGAATTACAAGATTATGGATTATATAGAACCTTAACATTGTAATTATGGTGCAAAACCAAGTAAATGGAAACCCAAATATTGTAATTTACCAGATTAAGGATCCATTTATAAGTTTACGGAACGTTTACGTCCAAACCATTGCAATACGATTCCTTATTGTTGTAAACTATTGCGTTTACAAGAATAAGGACCAAGTTTACATCTCCAAGGTCCACCCCTGCCTTAATATTGTAATTTATATCCCTTCTATTGTAAATTACTATATTACAAGTTTATGAATACACTTTATAAGTTTATGAAACTTTAACGTCCAAGTAATTGTAAAAGGGGTCCTTTATATTGTAAACCATTGTGTTTACAAGAATAAGGACCACATTTACTTCTCCAATGTCTATCCTTACCTTAACATTGTAAAATAGATCTTTTCTAATGTAAATTATAGTATTATAAGATTATGAATTATAAGGAACCTTAACGTTGTAATTATGGTGCAAAAACGTGTAAATGGGAACCTAACTTTTGTAATATAGTAGATTAATGATCCATTTTATAAGTTTATGGAACGTTTACATCCAAACCATTGTAATAATAGTCCTTATTGTTGTAAATCGTTGCGTTTACAAGAATAAGGACCAAGTTTACATCTCCAAGGTCCACTCTTGCCTTAATATTATAATTGATATCCTTTCTATTGTAAATTATGATATTACAAGTTTATGAATACACTTTATAAGTTTATGAAACTTTGACGTCCAAGTAATTGTAGAAGGGGTCGTCAATATTGTAAACCGTTGTATTTACAAGAATAAGGACCACATTTACTTATCTAATGTCCATCCTTACCTTAACATTGTAAGATAGATTTTTTCTAATGTAAATTATAGTATTATAAGATTATGAATTATAAGGAACCTTAATATTGTAATTATGGTGCAAAAACGCATAAATGGGAACCTAAATCTTGTAATATACCAGATTAAGGATCCATTATATAAGTTTATGGAACATTTACGTCCAAACCATTGTAATACAAGTCCTTGTAAACCGTTGTGTTTACAAGAATAAGGACCAAGTTAAGGTCCACCTTTTCCTTAATATTGCAATGAGATCCTTTTTATGTAAATTACAATATTACAAGTTTATGAATACACTTTATAAGTTTATAGAACTTTGACGTCCAAGTAATTGTAAATGGGTCCTTAATACTGTAAACCCTAGTGTTTACAAGAATAAGTTCCACAATTACTTATCTAAGGTCCACATTTACCTTAATGTTGTAAGGGGGATCATTTTCTTTGTAAATGAGTATTACAATGTTATGGATTAGGATTCACCTTAACGTTGTAATGGAGGTGCAAAGTCTCGTAGATGCGAACCCAAATGTTGTAATGTACAAACTTAAGGATATTATTTACAAGCTTAAGGAACACATCTGTCCATGATAGTGTAATAGTGGTTCTTAATGATACAAACTCTCGTGTTTACAAGCCTAAGGACCCAATTTTGCTTATTCAATGTCTTTACTCTTACCTTAGCATTGTACTTTTTTTTTTTTTTTTTTTTTTTTTTTTTTTTTTTTTTTTTTTTTTTTAAGAAAGTATAACATATTTATATATATTTCATTAAATATTTATTTATAATTTATATTATTAATATAGAATTATTATATTTGATCATTTTTATTTTATATATATATATATAAATACACAAAGAAAAAAGAAAAAAGAAGTTGCATTGAAAACATGAAGAACAAAATTCGATTAGTAATTGGTCGATTTTGCAAATAAGTATTTAAATGATCATATGCTTGTGTATGGTAGTGTTCTTTTGCTTAGCAATAATATGTTATATTATATGCAAATATAGACTATACTATAATTTAAGAATCAATTTATAAAAATATATATTCTTAGATTTTAAATTATTATCAACAATATGTTATATTATATGCAAATATAGACTATCTTTAAACTAAGAATCAATTTTATAAAAATCTATATTCTTAGATTTTAAATTATTTGGTGAAATAACATATATATATTTTAATGTATTTTATGCACGCAAAATTGTCAATGAACGATATATATATTTTATAAATGGTAATGAAGATGTTATCATGATTACTTAAAATTGAAATTTAACATAACCACAAATAAATAAATATTTGACATGTAAAAATCTAATGTTTTACTAACTACTTTTTGAAACTTTGGATCATTCTATTAGTTTTCCTGATTTTAGTCTTACCTAATATTTTTAAATTCTATTATTTATAGAAATCATTCACATGCTAGTTATTGGTGGAGTAATAGTGCAATAATAGAAGTGAGATTAGTGGAAGAAAAACATGGAACAAATTTTTTAATGCTTGTTATTATTATTTTAATCTAAGCATATTTAACTTTTTCTGTTTATTGTAATTTTCTTTTAATTAGTTTTTTCAGTTAATTACATTCTTACTTTAAGTTTTCATAGACATAAACATCAACCAAAAAGAGAAATTAATAAATAAATAAAATAGCCTACTATTGGTATACATTAAATCAACCCAAAAGAGAAATAAATAATATATATATGTATATATAAAGCAAAATGCAGAGAATGGTGAAACATTTAAAATACTAGAAAATTCCCTTGGTTAATTCAAACATTAAGAATTAAAATTATTAATTAAATGAGGATAATATGGTAAATTCACTTTTTCTCATATTAAAAAAGTTAAAATTAAAAATAAAATCAGATAATAGGTTCTTCTTTTACGGAACACTAGCCCCTTGGCATATGTGTGAGCACGTGCCAATTGATTCATTATCTGAATTTTCTTTTAATTTTAATTTTTTTAATATGAAAAAGTGTGAATTTATCATATTATCCTCATTTAATTAATAATTTTAATTCTTAACGTTTGGATTAATCAAGGGCATTTTCTGGTATTTTGAATGTTTCACCATTATCTACCTTTTGCTTTATATATATAGATAGATTAACAAAGGGCATTTGCTGGTATTTTGAATGTTTCACCATTCTCTGCATTTTGCATTAGATATATGCTAGCCCCTTGGCACATGCTCATGCATATGCCAATTAGTTTTCTTTTTCTTTTTATTTTATTTTTAGAATTAAGAAAAGATAATAGGGTAGTTATGTTCCATAAAAGTAGGACCTATTATCTGATTTTGTTTTTAATTTTAATTTTTTAATATGAAAAAAGTGAATTTACCATATTATTATCATTTAATTAATAATTTCAATTCTTAATGTTTGAATTAACCAAGGACATTTTCTGGTATTTTGAATGTTTCACCATTCTTTGTCTTTTGCTTTATATATATATATATATATATATATATATATATAAGATAACTACCCATATTATCTTTTCTTAATTCTAAAAATAAAATAAAAAATAAAAAATAAAACCAATTGTCACATGTGTGAGCGTGTGCCAAGGAGCTAGCATATATAAAGCAAAAGGCAGAGAATAGTAAAACATTCAAAATATCAGAAAATGTCATTGATTAATGCAAACATTAAAAATTGAAATTATTAATTAAATGATGATAATATGGTAAATTCACATTTTTCATATTTTAAAAAAATTAAAATTAAACGAAAAATCAGATAATTGATCATATTTTTATGGAACACAACTACCTATTATCTTTTTTAATTGTAAAATAAATTTAAATTTAAAAAAAAAAGTCTCTTACAAGTTCAGAAGCACGTAAGAAGAGACTAGTATATATATATATAAACATGCTTTTTGTCCTTCTTTTATATATCCATGTTAAATAAAATATATATAAACATGCTTTTTGTCTCTTTTTATGTAGCCCTTGTTGGCTGGCTGTCAGCTTTTTTGGTTTGCTTTTTCTCTTTCTTCCTTCATCCGTACATATTGGTGGGATTCAATTTCAGTGTTTATTAACAGCCATAGATTGAAAGTGATCTAATGGCTGAAATTTGCACGCATTGATACACAGGTGCACTGTAGAATTTTCCTTCATTCCCATACACAGGTGCACGTATTGGTATTGGATATTACTGATTAGGATATCCTTTAAAGACTGCATCAACATTTTTGTCCTTCTTTTTGTCCTTTCTTTGTGGTGCATGTGTGCGTAGCGTGCTAACATGCATACCAAATGCCCTAGTCCCATCAAATTCCTCTCAAGTGCGGGGAGACGGATCTAGGCTTAATACGTAAGTCTCTGCAATGCCCCTCCTGGCCCTTCTTTCTTCTCCACCGAAACCGATAACGTGTAGAGGGCCAAAGAGTGATCGATGGCGATCCTTGATCACATGAACTTGTCGGGTTAGGCTAGGCTGTGTTGCTTGATGAAAGAAGCTGATCTGGCTGGTTCAGCCGGGCTCCTTGTACCAACTTTCCTTATATTGTACCTGTCTCTTCCTTATTCCCCCACGACGTCGCGTTTTTGCCAATGAAGCCGCAGAGAAGTTTTCAACTACATGAGACGTAATTAACTTGGACAATCTGTGACCAATTTTGGGACGTAAACTTGATTAATAACAACACATGACAAATGTGAGAATCACAAGTTAATGATATAATTAGAAATTAATTTTTTGGTCGTTTGCCATTAGAAACAAATTAGTTGGGGCGAGTCAATGGTCTCTCTCTCTCTCTCTCTCTCTCTTTCTCTCTCTCTCTCTCTCATATTATGTAATGTACTAGAGAGAGTAATTAGCCGTCCTCATTGAATACATAGTCACACAAGTCCAGCCGGCGACGGCCATGATGTCTTGCTGATCAAGAAAACTGAAAACAATTTTCAACATATTTTTATTTTTAAATTTTCATAAAAGTTAGTTTTACCTTAATTTAGGAGTCAACTCTTTGTCGTTTGGTCAAAAAATAATTGTTTGTCCCACCAATAGGGTCTAACCTAGTGGAAAAAATGCTTTGACTTGCGGACCAATGATGTCATATTCAAACTCTTATGACACTCTGATAATATGTGTGAGAAACTAATATAGACTAGAATAATGCTACTCTTACCATATTTGTATACCACATCTCCATACCATCTTATGTGGCAGTTGAGGTGGACAACCACATCAATTAAAATTATTTAATATTTTCTTTTCTTTTATGATTTATTCCAGTATTTGTTTTTCTAATTGTCTTAATTAAAATACACTTAATTGATTTAATTGATGTGACATATAATATGGACATGCCACATTATATAGTATAGAAATGTGGGATAAAAATGTGGTGCATGTAACATTACTCTTTAGACCATTACTTGTATTAAAAAATAATAACAATAACTGTTGGCCCCACAGCCCACAAAACCATTAAATTTTTGGACCCTTTTAACCACAGAACCATATCTTCTCTCTTGAATACATATAGTTCAGGCACACCACTCAATTCCTCTACATTTTTATTTTTAATTATTTAATAAACAGTGTTGTGGTCCTTTAAAAGGAGGTGGAGGGTGTAGGTAGTTCATACTTGTGTGTGTTGAGAGAACGCACATACCAAGCACAAAACTTGCCACAACAGAAGAAGATATGGAGAGTTCTTCTAAGCTCCCCCTTCATCTCTGCCATGTCCACAAGCTTTCAATCTTCATCAACCGGACACATATATTCTTCCACTCTATAGCTTTAGTCTTCTTGCTTTACTACAGAGCTTCTTTCTTCTTCTTCCAAGACACTACCAAAACCAAAGCAACCACCTTAGCATGGCTTCTTGTGTTTGTCTCGGAAATCTTCCTATCCTTCGAGTGGCTCCTCAGCCAGTCTTTTCGATGGCGTCCCGTTTCGCGAACCGCGTTCCCGGAGAGGCTGCCTGGTGATGATAAGCTCCCAGCTGTTGATGTGTTCATATGCACTGCGGATCCGGAGAAGGAACCCACTGTGGGGGTGATGAACACTGTGTTATCTGCCATGGCAATGGACTATCCGCCAGAGAAACTTCATGTGTATCTGTCCGATGATGGTGGTGCTGCTGTGACTTTGAAGGGTATGAGAGAGGCTTGGAGGTTTGCAAAGTGGTGGCTTCCATTTTGTAGGAGGTATGGGATCAAGTGCAGGGCTCCGGAGGCTTATTTCTCTGCAGAAGAGGAGGACGCTGATTTTGGCGGCAGCGAGTTCATTCAAGAGAGAGAAGATATTAAGGTGAATGAGAGTTGAAATTTTTGCATACTAACCAACACAACATTTTATTACTTACAAAGCTGGCCATGGGACATATATACAAGCTATATAATCATCTAGTGACCAATTATTAGAGAGATGATATACAAATGAATACATTATATAATCATCTAGTGACCAATACTCATATGTTGCTAGGACACAAGAAAAAAATACTCATATTATATTAATGGTGTTTCTAGCTACCAGAGTTGACGGGGGAGATTGGGTGCAGGAGAAATATGAGGTATTCAAGAAAAGAGTAAGAGAAAAAAGCGACGGTTGGGGACGCAAGGAGCAGGCTGGGTCGAGATCACCCTGCAGTGATTGAGGTATATTTTAACGTTTGGTATCGTTTGTTGACTAATTTGGTTTTGATATCAATGAGTTTTTAGGTTTGCCAAGTTTCCAAGTTCTTCTCAGGTTTGCCAACCGTCAAGTTTGCATTTTCCTATTTTGTCCTTTACTAATGGATATATATAACACGCAGTTAGCTAGATAGACAGCATTCCATAGCCACACCACCCAAAAAAAAGAAAAAAAAAGAGAGAATATATATGTAACATAAATTCATGATCATAACCCATATCTGGAAATTTGGCAGGTTATACAAGAAACATCCAGTGATGATGCAATTCAAGAAAATGAAACCAAAAATATGCCTCTCCTTGTTTATGTTTCTCGTGAGAAACGAAATTCTCATCCCCACCATTTTAAAGCTGGAGCGCTTAATGTTCTTGTATGTTTTTCTTTCTTTTGATAGTTTGATATTTCGCTAATCTTCCTATCTACGGTAATATTCTCTTATCAGATATCTATAGTATGTTACGTATTACCAAAGCTATGAATCTAGCACCACACATTCAAACTAATAATTCATTTTATTAAATCGATCCAAAGTGACAGTCTGACATAACTTATACATGCTCAACTATTTGACAAGTGAATAATTTTTCTACATTTCCAGGTATTTATTTATTTATTTATGTGTAAAATTAATATATTGTGCACTTATTGTTTTTCAGCTACGGGTCTCTGGTGTGATAAGCAATTCTCCTTACATATTAGGGCTAGATTGTGACATGCATTGCCATGATCCAAGCTCGGCTCGGCAAGCAATGTGTTTCCATCTTGACCCAGAGATATCACCCTCCCTAGCACTTGTTCAATTCCCTCAAAAATTTCACAACATCAGTAATAATGATATCTATGACAGTCAGCTGAGGTCCACATTTTGGGTATGGATTCAAGGACAAAACTTCACTTTAGTTATACATGAATTAATATATTTAATTACAAATTATCCCCTAAATATAATTAAAGAAAACCATAAATTTTATGTGCAATATGTCATCAGACAAATTTTTTGACTTGTTGGTCTTGACTACTTTCAAAGCTGCTATGGCAAGGTTTTGATGGGGTTGGAGGGCCATGTGTGTCTGGTACTGGCTATTACATCAAGAGGTTGTCCTTATGTTCAAACTCCATACATGAAGGTGTGTTTTGCATTCGTCATGTGTGTTTTTGTATATATTTTCATACGTGTCATTGTCTTTGTTGTACCACCACTGCGGGTCACAATAAATACCAAACAGTCAATCACCCAGTTTTCGTCAACTCATCAACACCAATCATTTCAGTTTGATTGTATTAATCTTTGCTTCAAGTTCAAGGAAAGCTATGGTTTGAAAAAGAAAACATCAATATGCAATCACCCATAAAAAATTAAATTGTTATTATCCTGACAAGTTTATTCTAGGACATCTGGTGCAGAGATAAATGCTTTGCTCCTAACCATTTGAGCTACAAACCCCCTTATTCATTAATAATATATATTCTTAGACATTATATAAGCATGTATTTGTAATCATCCATGTACATTTATCTTTCTTGTATGCTCTATAGCTAATTACTAGTTTCACTATTGAATTTCAAGATGGGGATCCCATGAAACCTGGACAATCTTTTGGTCCATCCAATGAGTTCATCAAATCCCTCCACCAAAACAAAAAGCCTGATATGCTCATCCACAGAAAGAAAGCATTGCTAAATGAAGCCCAACTTCTAGCCTCTTGTGCCTTCGAAAATGGCACCGAATGGGGGGAAAGAGGCAAGTACAAATACTATTAAAACCATACCCATTGAATCATTCAACTTAATAATAATAATAAATTGTGGTCTTTCTTTCATTTATGGCAGGTTGGTTTCATGTATGGGTCTGTGGCGGAAGATTACTTCACAGGGTTTCGTTTGCATTGCAAAGGTTGGATTTCAGTGTATTGTAATCCACCAAGGCCACAGTTCTTGGGCAGTGGCACCACCAATTTGGATGACTTTTTAGTCCAAGGGACTAGATGGACCTCTGGGTTGGTTGATGTTGCTATCTCCAAGTTTTGTCCTCTTATATATGGCCCTTTGAAAAACATACACTTTCGTTCAAAGCATGTGTTATGCCGAACTTGCTCTTTCCCCATTTTCTATTTCTTGCCATTGTGGTGCTTTGCTACCATACCTCAGCTCTGCCTACTCAATGGTATTCCTTTGTACCCAGAGGTAATTAAAGTTTTTTTATATAAATATTTCTTCCTATCAAATAACTTTTGCGCAATGATTCAAGATAAAGAGTACTTATTTTTAAGGAAATTCTTGTATATAATAAAAAAATTTATCTTTTATCACACTATCTGACAACAAAGACTGTGAATATGAATTATTGACACAGTTTAAAAGCCTCAATAGTTATGGATGTTTGGTTGTTATTGGCGCTAATTGGGCACATATATGGGTTCCTATACTAACTAAATGACACAAACAATTATAAGTAGGGATATGTATCATGCCCATTTAGAGGCAATAACCACTAAACATCTGTGAATATTGAGGTCATTTTTACTAGTGTGAGTAGGTTTATTTTGATTGAGTGTGGATCACATACACAGTTTGGACAATCTCACAATATAATATTTATCTTATAGTCATCCATTCTATTCCACGCCCTCATAAAAAAATAATTCTCGTATAAAATCTTCAATTTGATTTAATGTCATGCAATATCCTATACATATTGGGCTTGTTCTTGGATTTGCAGTTCTCAAATTCGTACTTCATCGTATTTTCGTTTGTATTCCTATCGTCGATTTCGAAACATTTATATGAAGTTCTCTCAACGGGATTTACAGTTTCGACATTGGATAAATGAGCAAAGGATATGGATGATGAAGTCAGTAACATCTCACTTATATGGCAGTGTGGATGCCTTAATGAAGAAAATTGGTATGAGAGAAGCCAGTTTCTTCCCAACAACAAAGTTGACGAGTTTGAGCAACTCAAGCGTTACAATATGGGGGTGTTTGATTTCCAAACATCATATTATTTCTTGCTCCCAATGGCTACTCTGGTGATCTTGAACATGGCTTCCTTTACTGTTGGGGATTTCTAGAGTCCTATTTTTGGGACAGTTGGACAAATTTTTCATACAAGTATTCATACCCTATTTATGTCATTTTGATGAAACTATCCTATTGTTGAAGGGATGCTGATAAAGAAAAAGACAGGGGTCGCATTCCCCCATTCAGTCCCATATAACTCTACTGCCATAGTTTTCCTTGATTTTCCTATTTTTTGGGTTATATTATTTTCATGTGCCAGGCCCAATGAGGCCCATGGGCTGTTTCCATAAATTTCCATTTTTTCTGAATTATATATCATGGGTTGTGTATGCTGTTTTAGTTTTATTTTATTTTATTTATTTATTTATTTTTTAATACAAGCTATCAATATAAGATTAAAGGGATTTCTCACCACACACACTACTAATAAAAAAAAAAAAAAAAAAAAAAAAAAAAAAAAAAAAAAAAAAAAAAAAAAAAAAAAAAAAAAAAAAAAAAAAAAAAAAAAAAAAAAAAAAAAAAAAAAAAAAAAAAAAAAAAAAAAAAAAAAAAAAAAAAAAAAAAAAAAAAAAAAAAAAAAAAAAAAAAAAAAAAAAAAAAAAAAAAAAAAAAAAAAAAAAAAAAAAAAAAAAAAAAAAAAAAAAAAAAAAAAAAAAAAAAAAAAAAAAAAAAAAAAAAAAAAAAAAAAAAAAAAAAAAAAAAAAAAAAAAAAAAAAAAAAAAAAAAAAAAAAAAAAAAAAAAAAAAAAAAAAAAAAAAAAAAAAAAAAAAAAAAAAAAAAAAAAAAAAAAAAAAAAAAAAAAAAAAAAAAAAAAAAATTTCTTTATTTATTATTTTTTTTATAGCAGCCGATGATCTTTTTTCCCTCTCATAGGAACAGATTTGCAGATGATATTGAATCAGTTTTATTCTTCTTTCTTGACATGGTCTGGTATGATAGTACAGAGATGTGCTTGCGTTCAACATTCGTGAAGGTGCTGGAACTTATGCATTTTGTTCTTCCTCCTTTTGCAGGTGTTTCTGTGACTTAGTGGGATCTTCCATGGCATCTAGACCTTCCACCGATTATGCTAGACCACCTCTACTCCATGGATGATAATCTTAAGGGGGGGGCCGCTCCTGTTGCTGAAGATGCCGTGAGAATCCTGTGTCGGTGATGAGCCATCCCCTGAGACCGCTCATGTAATTGATCCTGCCTCCATATCCAAATGTTGCATTGAAAAGGGCCTTTTTCCAGCCGTTCCCTATTCTCCAATATCTTGCAGCATTAGTAAGGGTTGGTCAGAATGGGTCAACCATGAGCTGCGGGATCCATCCACATGCAACATCCTGTGCAGAGCATAGGTCCTTGATGCCATCTTTCTTTCCAAATTGTGGGACATCCACATCGAAGCGAAGATGCTTTATCACGTGGTCCGGAGGTGGAGGGCTGCTACTCACACCTTTGTATGTTCATAGGGGGAATTTACTCCTACCCTTGAAGACGTGGCGAATATCTCTCGCCTTCCAATTTATGGCGACCGGAGTCCTTTTAATGTTGCCCTCACTCCGGCAGAGAGGGACAAGCTGGCAGTCTTACAGAGGGGCGCCCCTACCTCTCCCAGCACCTCACTTCGGTTCAGTAACTGGATACAACATTTTGGTGATGCAAACAGACAAGGGCCCTGCCAGCTGGCCGCGTTTATAGCTCTGTGGCTTGGGCGGTTCGTGCTTTGCGACTTTTCTTAGGACTGCCTGCACGAGCGTGTATTTCCCTTGGCTTTGGCCATAGCCCGAGGCGACACCATCCCCTTAGCCCCCATGTTCCTGGGACATCTATACCATCTACTTGATCGAGCCCAGCTTCTGGAAAAGAATGCATTAGGAACCATGGGCGTGGATACCCTTCTAAACTCTGGTTTCTTGTAGGTGTTCTTGTGGGAGCGTCTCAAAGGGTTGGACGTGCATTCACTCCCCCATTCGCACGCTATGAAGTTGGCTGACTGGGGCAATGGTTCTTTCATGCCAGACAAACTCCCATTAGTTTGTAGGTGGTTCAAGAGGATGCAGCGGAAAGGCCATAATTTCTTAAAGCTGCTGGATAACATCGAGATTTCGTCTTCCGTCCCTACGGCACCTCAGCAGAGACTTTCACTTTCGTGCCCTTCTATGCTGACGTCAGTGATACTGTTGCAGTTCCAGCAGCCGTATCGCAGAGTGGCCGGTTCCGAAAGTACGCTTTGTTGAACGTTGCTCCCATCCCCTTACCTATTCTTGGGGATAATCGCGCAGAGATTTCCGTTACCTACTCTCCACACCGAGTCAGGCAGCAGTTTGGGCTTGACCAAGGGGTTCCCAGTAGTCCCAACCATGGTGATCCCTTTGCACTACACAGGATCTTTTGGAGCAATGACCACATACCAGCCAGTTGTAGGCTCATCGTTTTAGCGAGCAAGGCGAGGATTGGTGGCTTCTCCAGAGGCTACCAAGCTTACTGGAACCGTTGCCTCACTTCCTTCCGTGAGTTCCAATCCTCTCCCGGGGACAGATTGCCTCATACAACGGCCCGCCTTGTAGGTTTGGTGTCGGAAAAGAAGGCCATCCCTCTAAGCAAAAGCGCAATTTGCCATTTATTTCCAAGTCAGGTGATGTTGTCGGAGAATTTCCCAAGACAAGTTCAAAGCCCAGGACGCAGAGTTCCCATAGCTCTGGAAAAACTGTGACACCAGCGTCCAGCAGCTGGAAGCGGGAAATGAAGCAAAGTGTAGGGAAGGAGCCGAGTACCGGTAAACCTAGGAGGTTCATCCCAAAGGTAGCACCAAGTGGCCCTCCTTGGACTAAAGAAGTAACTCCCCCTGAACGTCCACAGCCTTCGAAGCCTGTTGTATCTAGGGGCCCAAGTCGTACTGGCAAGGCGCTGGAAACTTCACCTTTTCGCTGTAAGTATCCCCCACTTCCAATACTTCTTTGTGCCTTCTTTACTTGTTATGCGTGTATGTTATTTAGGTACATACTCATTTATCATATATATATTTTTTTATATAGGGAAAATGGGTACAACCCCAAAGAGAAAAAGAAGTGACACACCCTCGGTATCTCCTCAGGTGACCCCTAAAAGTATGCGCATTCTACACGCAGGATCTACTGGAACACGCACCAGTAACGTTGAAGCTGCCGGAACCCCAACCCTGGTGACAGTTGATGACGATAGTGATGATGGCAACACCACTAGAACGTTGATGACATTGGTGACATGCGTGAAGATTCTGACAGGGACCACAATGATGATTGCAATGAGGATGCATTTGCTTATTCCAGTGACTATCCAGGAGGACAAGGTGGTTTAGATGCTTTCTTTGGGTCCGCTGGTAGCAGTACGCGCCATTTTAGCGCTGAGCCGGTAACTGGCGCATTTTAAGTTCTGTCCTCCTTTCCTTATTTACACCATAATCTGTTCACTCAACGCGTGCTCATCTTGTAGGTTACTGACATTGCTGAGGAACAGGGGAATATTAGCCCGACTTCTATACTAAGGGGGAGAAGAAGAACGAACGAAAGAGGGAATTGGGTGCCTTGAGCGAATTCTCAGATGCTTGACAAAGCTTGGTCAGGCTATCAATGGTTGGTTTTTCTGGGTAGCAAAAGCCTCCTTTTATAGGCGTTAAGAGCCCTAATTTTGAATGGTGTAGGGGGTTTTTTGTTCTAGCAGCCTGACGAATGGGCTTGGGCTGCTGTAAGAAGACGACGAACAAAATCCCCCAAATGCCTGAGTTCGAAACCAAGCTCCCAAAAGAGTTTTTAGAAAATCTGATGAGATTTTAAAAGAACACTCTTAGGATCACTTTACTAACACCCACATAAGCATGATAAATTCACTAATGGCTTAGCTCGAGGAGCCTGTGGCATGGGAGCTAAGCTTTCACAAGTTTAGCAATTTGAGAGAGAGAGAGAGAGAGAGAGAGAGAGAGAGAGGCATGAGTTCCTTATAGAGAAAAGAAGCCCGAAGTGAACAAGGGAATATTAGCCTGACTTCTATACTAGGGGGGAGAAGAAGAACGAACGAAAGAGGGAATTGGGTGCCTTGAGTGAATTCTCAGATGCTTGACAAAGCTTGGTCAGGCTATCAATGGTTGGTTTTTCTGGGTAGCAAAAGCCTCCTTTTATAGGCGTTAAGAGCCCTAATTTTGTCTGGTCTTCCTCTTCCCTTTCCCTTGACAGCTCCCTACTTAGTCCTATTTTGGTGCAATTCTCCTATCAAGGCATATGGGAAAGGAACCATTGTGGTTCCAACGACTTTGACGCAGGTGGACCTCCCCACAAGGGTGAGGTGCCACTTTGCTTTTTCTCAACGTTTTCAAAACAGAGCTTGTAATGGGGAAAGAGATGGGTAGAGCCTTTTGTCTGATGGGTATTTGTCCTTTACCCATGAATTTCTGCTGGTTCTTGCCTTGGCCCTTTGTTTAACCTGTTTGGAGTCTCATCAGAGGTGGAACACGATGACAGCTTTTCCACAAGCTGCTAGACTGGGCTTGTGTGTAACGTTGGGTTGCTGGCCTATTATTTCTAATGGATTTTTGTCAAACTGCTGGAAAAGGTTTTTGCTAATTTCTTTGGGGCACTCTATTGATGTAGGTTGGGCTAAGTATTTTAGTAGGTTACTTGGTGTCTTCCTAGAGCATGGGGCAATTTTCTCTTCTCTCTCATGCTAACCCATGTGCTTGGGTTATAGGAACGGTCTTGAGTTTTAAGGCCCCCCAAGTGGCTTAAAAACTTGCGTCCCTTGAACCCTCAATGGGCCCTGTGATTGCTTGTTTCCTTCCATACCACAACCTTCTCAGTAAGCCCCGGTTAATTTTGTGGCTTGGGCCCACTTAAGCTCGTGGCATAGCTTGGTGTTAGAATAGTGGCTCTTCGTGCATGATATCTATGCTCGTGCTTGGGGTTTTATTATGCCGTGATAGGCTATAATTGGGCCAAGTAGCACCGAATGAGCATGTGAGCGTGATTTAATAATGTCGGTATGTTCTTGGCCCCTTCTGCACGTGCTTGCTTGGCATGATTCGTGGCTTGTAGCTTGTGTTGACGGCTCTTATAAATTCTATTTTATCTCGATTGAGCCTATTTTGCATCCAATCACCTGTGTTGGCCCAAAGATTAATTTGGGTTTAGCCCCTTGGATTTTTGGGCCTCAACAAATGGCTTATAGGTCGGGGCTTCTATTGGGTCTTTGTGGTTGTAATTCTTTTGGGTTGAATGGCTTATAGGTCGGGGCTTCTATTTGATCGGCAAAAAGTGATAAGGTTGAGTGGGATGTCTGAAAAGGCTTACACCAGATCCTACAATTCCATGTATGTTGGTTGTTTGTGATCTGTCTTTTTTACCTAGTATTTAGGTATATTATCTTATATTTACCTAGCAATAGTTAATTGTTAAAGTATTTTACTTGACGAAACGTTTTTTTTGTTGGGTACAGATGTGTCATGGGCGGCAATAGAAGGATTCAAAATTTAAAATATGAAATTCATTTAGAAGGAAAGAATCGATAAATTAATTTGGATTTTCAATTAATGTTATTTTCTTATTTACCTCAAAGGGTAAAATTGACACAAGAAAAAAATAATAAAAGTCAATGGGCCCAAATCTACAACAAAAAGGTGTGGACTAAATCCAATGACAGCTAGAGATTTTGGACTTAGATCAAAGAACCCCTAAAAAAAAAAATTGAAGTGATTACTTATGTAGTAAACACGTTAATTTTTTAACATTCTTTTTTGTCCGATTTAATTTTGGGATATACAATCACTTCTCTTCAGACCCTCGGATTAATAATGCAGATGCCATGTCCCAAAAGTCATCACTTTGTCTTTGCCTTCGTTCAATCATTTTCAAGCAAGCAGCTAAAAATTGTAAAAAATAATAATAAATGAATTTTTTTTATTTATTGGTGAAAATATAAATCAGCTTTTGAAACCCTCTGTATAAAGCTAGGTTGGCCCTTTTTTGGTTCGCAAACAAGAAGCTGAGCAGGGAAGAGGCAGTGCAGGAACCATTGGAGTGGTGGTAGTTTTATGGCTAACGGTTCAGCTGGGATGCAGCAATGCAGCCCCTTGTAGGGTTGGAGAGTCTGGTGGCTAGAGCCTGGAGCTATTTTTCAAATGGCCCTTGAAAATGTAATCGAACGGGCCCTAAATCATTTGTGTTTTTAATATATTTGGTTTTTTTTTGTTAATTTTTTCAAAAAAAGTTCCATGATTTGGAGATTTCCCACTAAGATATTGTACTAACCTAATTCTAGACACAAGTATAAAGTTGTGGCTGGAGGAAAGCGACTTAGGGCTCGTTTGGGAGTGCTTCTTTCCGAAGCGCTTATGACAGTAGCGCTTATGACATAAGTTCTTCTACAAAGAAGCAGTTGTCGTTTGGATGTCACATTTAAAAGTACTTTTATACTACATAAAAGTGCTTTTGATATTTTGTTGAGTGTTTGGTTGAAACAGTAAAAGCGCTTTATAGTAATGGCAACCCTTCCCAGTATAATCTCTCACAAAGCCATATATGTTTTCCATTAATGCATCTGTCTTTTTCCTTTTCATTCAATTTCAATCAAAATATATGGAAAGTATATATGTGCTGAAATTTGAAAGTAGTGAGCGACGGAGGCAACAAACAGACAAACAAGCCATAAATTTAAGCAAAAGGGAAAACACCATGACAGTGTGAAAAGCTCTGTCTTTTGTCTCTCTATCTGTATGAAAAGCTCAAGTGGGTTCTATCTTTCTAGGTTTCTTGCTCCTTTCTCTTTCTTTCCTTCTTTTCTGTCTTGGGTTGTTGTGTTTTTAGTATATTTCAAGGCTGAAGAAGCTAAACTGAAGCTGTTTATTGATGGGAAGATAATAGATGCAGGCAGATATGATCACAACGTTTTTCAAGGCTTTGTGTTTATATAGGGAGTTTTCTTTTGGGATTTTTTCAAAGTTCTGGCTTAGTCTGGAAGTTTGGGAACTTGTAAGGGTGGAAAAAGGTCTGAGAAGAAGAAGGCAGAAGAAGAAGAAGGGTGTTGCTAAAGGGTGCTAAGTCTGAAGCTTCGTTGCCGACCAGAGTTAACAGTGTGTGTGAGAGAGATGGAATAGAAGCTGTGTTTTTGTCTGATAAGTTTTGGCGTCTGTTGGGCTTTTCGCGGGTAGCGTTTTAATTTTAATAGGAGAGAAAAAGATAGAGAGAAAAAAAAAGAAAAAAAAGAGGGTATTTTGGCATTAAAAAAAAATTAAATATGGGTATTCTCGGCATTTTAAAAGTTTCATTAAAGGGAGCCAAGTGCTTCCCGTGTTTTTGTCCTGCAGTGCTTTTAAGAAGAAGCACCTCTCAAGTGCTTCTTCCAAAACCACTCCAAGTGCTTTTGGATCTCACCCAAAGCGCTTTTGCAATTTTTGCCAAACATTATTTTTAAAATATAGAAGCGCTTTCACCCATTTAGAAGCGCTTTTCGCTGCTCCAAAAGCACTCCCAAGTCCCAAACGAGCCCTTAGGCAAGCCGGGTGCTCCACCTCTATTTTAAGTAGGCTTCAAGCCTCGTCTCATATGAATAAATCATCGACAAAAGCAAGCAATCAAGCAAGAAGCCCAAGAGCTATAAAAGGCCAATTAGACTGTTGTCCTATAAACTCACGAGAAGGCCAATATCGCGTCTTATAAACCCAATACGACGAAAAGGCCAATAGCCTATAGTTCTATATCCACCAAGCCGTGTACTCTCCCTCCATTCTAATACTTCTATTATAGCTCAGTCATCAGACCTCAACTCTAGCTTTGCCCTTTGTCGGAGCTTACCCCTACCGCCCAACCCAAAAAATTTCTATAAACAAAAAAGAAAAATGTTTTTTTAACAAAAAATGTTTACATGGTTTTGCTCATGATGATTTAACTAAGTACTTGTTGATGATGACAGATAACTCATGCATGCCTATTACCAGAAACAGGTTGACGAACTGCAAGAGATGGTGAGGAGGGAAGTGTTCATAAATCTTAATGCTGGAGGTGATGATGGTTTTGCACATCAGTTCAAGTTAATTGATGCAATCCAGCGTCTTCTTGTGGCATACCATTTTGAAAGAGAGATCGAAGAAGCACTGGAATGTTGCGTATCATGACCATCTTACTGATGATGATGATGATGATGATTTGTACAATGTTGCTCTTGGCTTTCGGCTGGCGCAAAGGGCTCAGGTGGCCTATAGCCCAGGGAAGGTTTTGGGAAATTATATTTAAGAATATAATATTATAAATTAAATACATATAATAACATGAGTTTAACATCATAAAAAATTAAATACATTGAATAATTTCTCCTTTCACCAAAAAATAAAAATAAAAAATTTCTCCACCAAACCCTCGTTAATTAGTTTCTAATTAGTCATGGAAAAAATGTTTCAAAAGCTTAAATTTTTTTATACAAAAAGTAGAAGAGCAAAAGTAAGACTAAAACATAAATATAATAACATATATTACAGCAGAATCCTCAGTTGTAATAACATGTGTGTGTTTACTGTTGTAAACAAATCATTGCAGTTGTAAATACATATTGCAACACATGTGTTTAAATAAATATAATAACATGAGTTGTAATTTCTCCACCAAACTCAGTTAATTAGTTTCTAATTACTCATGGAAAAAAACATGTTTCAAAAGCTTAAATTTTTTAATACATAAATAGAAGAGCAAAAGTAAGACAAACATATGCAACACATGTGTGTTTACTGTTTTAAACAAATCATTGCAGTTGTAAATACATATTGCAACACATGTGTTTAAATAAATATAATAACATGAGTGGTAATCTCTCCACCAAACTCAGTTAATTAGTTTCTAATTAGTCATGGGAAAAAACATGAATGTTTCAAAAGCTTAAATTTTTTTATACATAAATAGAAGAGCAAAAGTAAGACTAAAACATATGCAACACATGTGTGTTTACTGTGGACATTAACATTTGCATATGTCTCATTCAGACCCAAAAAAAGAAAAAAAACGTGCATATATCTCATAGGTTGCTCAAAGGACCCAAACGAATAAAAAAACAAAAGCAAAGGAAGCAAACAAATCTTGCTGATTCACCATGGCGGCCTGGCCCCTTAATTGTTGTCATACTATTACGTTATTTTTTATATATATATCTACTTTCTGGTATGCGTCTCGATCCTTGCCTATATATACACGATTGTACAAGCATTGTGATCTACACCGACTAAGCTTTCCCTTCCCTACGAAAAAAAAAGCATGCAAACTATGTCTGTCCAAGTTGGTTCAGCAGCTCAACCACAAAATGCTAAGCCAGATGAAATTGCTCGTAGGACAGCAAATTTTCACCCAAGCATTTGGGGAGATCAGTTCATCAATTATGATGATTCACAATACTTGGTATGTAATGGATATCATTCATGCGCATATCATAGATTACTTTTTATAACTCTTCTGGCACAAATGCTATGAATCTAATTCACATATTTATGATGTTCGTTTGATTGTGTGGTTTAGATTCATAATTTGCCAACGAAAGTCTTTCGCAAGAGAGCATTACTCTTTCTCATTAACTATATGCAGGTTATTTCAATTTTATAAAAACTTTTTCAACATGTTTTTACTCATTTCATTTGTCTCTGCAGATAACTCACGCTCATAAGCAAGGACAGGTTGACGAACTGAAAGAAGTTGTGAGGAGGGAAGTATTCACAACTAGTGCAGGTGATCTTTCACATCAGCTCAAACTAATCGATGCAATCCAGCGCCTTGGCGTGGCATACCATTTCGAAAGAGAAATAGAAGAAGCACTGGAACGCATGCATAATACACTTCATGACCATGACAGTGATGATGATGGTGATCTATACAATGTTGCTCTTTGTTTTCGACTACTCAGACAACATGGACATAATGTTTCATGTGGTACGTTTTTATAGAAATTAATTGATATACTTGTGGAGTGTGGTGTGAGAGACTTTGGGCTACTATAATTCTAGTTCTTATCTTTTTGTCCATTTTTTGACCATCAAAACCAGATATATTCAACAAGTTCAAAGATGAAAATGGTAGCTTCAAGGAAAGCTTAATTGCTGACGTGTCTGGCATGCTAAGCTTTTATGAAGCAACACATCTGAGGGTGCATGGAGAAGATATACTAGAAGAGGCTCTCACTTTCACCACCACTCACCTTGAGTCCGCAACAACCCCTGTAAGCAATCCATTGGCCGCAAAATAACTCAGGCCTTAGAGAGACCTCTGAGAAAAAGTCTAGAGAGATTAGGTGCCAGGCGTTACATATCGATCTACCAAGACGAAGCTTCACATAATGAGTGCTTGTTGAAACTTGCCAAGTTAGATTTCAATCTTGTTCAGCCTTTACACAAAAAGGAGCTACAAGAGATTACTAGGTAATATAATGAAGTCTCTCTTTTAATTATATCTGTGTGCATGACATGAGGGATCTACTTTGCAAAGTTCAATTTGGGATTAATATATTTACATATAAATGTTTAGGTGGTGGAGAGCACTAGACTTTGAAAGGAAGCTGCCATTTGCAAGAGATAGGATGGTGGAGTTGTACTTTTGGATAGTGGGAGTGTATTTTGAGCCTCAGTATTCTGTGGGGAGAAAAATTATGACGAAAGTGAGTGTCTTGCTAACGATATTGGATGATATCTACGATGCATTTGGCACATTTGAAGAACTAGTGATCTTTACCGAAGCAATTGACAGGTTAATAATTTGAAACAAACAATTAATTCTTGCTGTTTTTGTTAGAGAATATTCATTTAATTTGTCTCAAAACTCTCCTACTTTAATTATCTGTTTCAGGTGGGATCTCAATTGCAGTAATGAACTCCCTGACTACATGAAAATATTTTACCAAGCACTCTTGAATCTTTTCAATGAAATTGAGGAGGAGATGGTCAAGGAAGGAAGATCATACCGAGTTCCTTACGCGATACAAGCTGTATGTAAAACATGATATACGCACAACTTAAATTGCTTTCAAAATAAAGTACACTTTCGTTCTTGCGCAATTGATCATTTTTCACTGGTATATATGCCTCAGATGAAAGATCAAGCTCGATCCTATTTCAATGAGGCCCGGTGGCTCCACGAAGGACGAATTCCAAGCATGGAGGAGTATATGAGTGTTGCAACGGTTTCTATAAGTTACACCTTCCTTACAACCATCTCTTTACTTGGCATGGGAGATATTGTAACGAAGGAGTCATTTGAGTGGTTGCTCAATGACCCCAAAATTGTCAGAGCTGCAAACACCATTTTCAGGCTCATGGATGACATTGTTTCGACCAACGTACGTATAAATTATAGTAATTATGTACACGCATATGATCCGAAAAGACATTAATTTTGGATTTTATTTTTTCAGTTTGAGAAAGAAAGAGGGCATACTGCTTCCAGTGTTGATTGCTACATGAAGCAATATGGGGTCTCAGAGCAAGAGACAGTTGATGTTTTTAAGAAACAGATTATGGATTTGTGGAAGGACATAAACGAGGAGTTTCTCCGACCAACTGCTGTGCCGATGCCTGTGCTTAAGCGGGTTCTTAATTTAACACGAGTGGCTGATCTTCTTTACAAGGGGGAAGATGGCTTCACACGTGTTGGGAAGGTCACGAAAGATAGTGTTGCTTCAGTCTGTATTAATCCTGTGCCGCTGTGAGTTGGATAAGATGGCCTTTTGTACACGCATGGATTTGATTGTCTTTTTTAGGGAAGGGGGTGTTGGAATAATGTGTGTATCTTCTTATAGATATGCTTGGCCAGACGAAGTTCAACCATTTAATCATTTTCAATAAAGAAATGTCAGTTCTTGAGTTTTGATTTATCTGTTTTCTTTAATCATTTTCAAAATACTGGGTCCCTCCTCAGTTTCTCTAGAGCATAATGTGTCTTTCACTTCTATAAAAATTACGCAATAAATTACGAAGTTCAATTGTGGTCTCAGAATGAATTATCATAACTCTACTCAAATCTTGAAGGATTCTATGCTCAAATGACCCAAAATAAAGTTCACTATGCAAAAATAGATATGATTGTTATTTTTTGAATAGAGGAAGATCATTATACCTTCATCTCAGTCATCCCAGTCCGCACTGTTTGCTCATGCCAAAAAACATAAAATCATCTTTAGCAAAATTGTTAGTTTTCTAATTTACGAAGGAAAGTATCAATTTTGGAGAATGGTTTTTATTTTGGTTAATATGACGAAGTGGTTGGAGCTCAAACCACCTGCTACCAACATTTTAAGGTGTTGAGATAGAGTTAGGCCTAATCTACAAAGGACAACTATATTGATGATTTATCTGAGTTAAGCCTAATCTACAAAGGACCACTATTTCGTCGCGCAAATATTTGTGCGACGGACATTAAGGTCGTCCCGAAATGTTTTTCTAAACGAAGTTGTTATACGTAGCGCAAACTGCGCGACGAATGACATTTATTCGTCGCGCAAATCCTTTCTTCACGAACTTTGCGCGACGGACTGTGCGCGACGAAACTTCTGTCGCGCATAATTATGTGCGACTAAAATCATTTTTGCGCGACGAAGACCCCTACGTCGCGCAAAGACTAAAATGTAGTAGTGAAGATACCGTGAAGAGTTTAGTCACTAATTTATGCAGGAACGATTAATATTGTTTGATGACAGTGTTAGTTGAAGCTTTATAGAAACATAATATTATCCAATAGAAAAAAAAAAATTGAATATTATAAGGATCATCAATATCCTAATCAGAAATATAATATTAACTTAAAAGAATTGTTAATTTGATAGGTAGTCTCACAACAATTGCTAATTTTGTAGGTACTGACTGATTATGTGTTAGAATGTAAATCTAAACTACCGCTTATAAGATGCATTTTTGAAACATAACATTTTAAATTTGTTTAGCCATATAACATTTCAATACAATCGTATAAGATTTTATGCATAACAATTTCTCAATGAATGGGAGACATTTTTTATTATTATGAATATTTAAAATTGAAAATAACCTAACAAAAGTAGTAAAAAATAAAGATTTAACAATAATACTATAGATCAACTCACTGGATTGTCTGGAATTCATGAGATGGACTTTAAGGAATATATATTTCTATTATTTGCGTGTTTACTGTTGTAAACAAATCATTGCAGTTGTAAATACATACTGCAACACATGTGTTTAAATAAATATAATAACATGAGTTGTAATTTCTCCACCAAACTCAGTTAATTAGTTTCTAATTAGTCATGGAAAAAAAATGTGTTTACTGTGGACATTAACATATGCATATCTTTCTCCCACCCTTAATTGTTGTCTTACGTGAGACAACAATTAAAAACAATCCCATTCAAAGAACCTGAGACAACAGTTGCATATTAATCTACCGTCTCCTCCCTCTCTTTTCCGTCGTACTATTTTTCTCATCCGCCAATCAAGCAATCAAAGGAATCTTATCCCATTCTAGATCACTAACTTGTTCAGACGCTCATGTTCGGGCCACCAAGATTTAAGTTGAAGAACATGTGATTATTCTCAACTAACTTGTTTCAAGTCTGGCCAAAACCCTAATTACGACCCATTACGTTTTTTTTTTTTTTTTTTTTTTTTTTTTTTTTTTGTTGGACGTGGTGTTAATTTAAAATACTCTAATCTATAAGAATGAAAATAAGTTGTTTTTTGGACGTGGTGCCACTTTAAGTTGTGTTTTTTTTCTTTGTAATTTTCGTTTTCCTTCTACTTTTTGTGTGACTTTTCATTGTAATGTTAGAATACTTTTTTTCCATCTGCTGTCTTTATATTTTAGGTTACGGAAACGTCAAACACTTTTGGCCCTGTTTGGTACACCTCCTTGGATTGGCTTGGATTGGACTAGCTTAAATAACACCCTTGACCCATGTTTAGTGTAGCCCTTCATTAAGTTAAATGAGATTAGATAATCTAGAACTTAAAAAAAGGCTTCGCTCGTTGGCACAAATTAGCGAGCTCTGAAGAGGTGCCACTAAATAACGAGGTCACTATCGAGTCTGTCATTATCCTCTTCAACGTTGCTCTGGCTCTCCTCTTCCACTTTGCTTTGTTTTCCTCTTCTGTTGTGCTTTGCTCTCACTCACTCAAGGTTAGTTGTTCAACTGTCTTTCTCTCTTTCCACTCTTCTTCTATGTTTGTCTCTCTCCTTGCAATCTATGCCAAAAAAGGCCTTCAGCAACGGATAAAATCCATTGCCTATTACCCATAAATACCGTGGTATTCAAGCATGTTGCCTATTACCATGGTAAACTCCAATGTGTAAATGATTTCCGTGTGCCAAAAAAATGTTGACTTCTGACGCCTAAACCCGAAACAGCATCAGTAGTTTCAAAAGGGAGGAGGCTAAAAAGGTATTACATCATTAGCGGTTTCGAAAGGGAGGAGGCTAAAGAGGTATTACAACATCAGTGGCATCTGCTATGCTGATGCGTATTATCAATTACAACATCATAGAAACAAATAGTGTTGTTGTAAATTATGTTATACATCATTGCTTTTTTTTATTTTGCCGATGTGAAAAGCCTCCAATAGTGTTGGTGGTTACATAAATGCTGATGCTACTTCTAGTTTTAGGCATCAGTGATCATAGATGTCTAGTTGTTGTTTTTATCTTTCAACTTCAGTTATTTCTGAAAAACTGAAGTTGTTATAAACAATAGACATCACTTATGTAAGGAAAGGGTATGTATTTTGCTTGTTTCACACCACACTTTACTTAGTTACTGTCTTAGTATTTAAGAAAGACCTCATTTCCAAATCATGTTGTGTTGCCATTGCTCATTAAAATATATATATATATATATAAACAGTAATTTAAATATATCCATACTTATATATATATAAGCAAAATAATTGAATGATCCATACTTGTCACATCCAAATCACAATTTTTCCAGCCCTACACAACAAATTATCCATACTTGTCTATGTATAAGCAAAATACTAGCTAGAAAGACATGTAAAATGAAGGAATGTTTAGCTCAATCAAAAAGCCATTCTAGAACATGAGTTGCCAATTCGGATGCAAAATAAACTTTGATTTCTGCTAGATGTCAATGAACAAATGGCAACAAAATGCGTTACAAGCTGATAAGTTAATACGTAAGAAACAATTCCTAGACTGTCAATTATCTGAAGCATTTTTTTTCTGGCCATACATCTAACAGCCATGAGACACCAACATTCTGTTATAAACTTACAATACCTCATTTCCCTAATCCTAGCAGCCTTTTCCTTTTTCTTTTCTTTTTTTGCCCCTTCTTTTCCATTGAAAAGAGAAAAAAAGGGAGGAGGAGGTGGCTCTATTATTTTCGTTTTCTGTCTGATGAAACTCGCCCTCCAACCAGTCACATGTTCCTTGTTTTACCCAAAAAACAACCTCAATCCTCTGCCACTAGTAAGGCCGGTACCTCCTGCCACGGTTACTTTCATCACTAAAAATTTACAATCAAGTTCATAAGGCCACCACCATTGTTCTAAGTTGTAACATGTCGGGTTACAGTATAAATAATAGAAATCTAAGTTTGATATCTGACTTAATTGCAACAACTTTATATCACAATGATGAAAAGAATAGACCGTAAGAGTTTTAAGTACATTCCAGCAGCCATCTATTATTTGATGTCTATACTCAAATCATATGGCATTGCATTCTACGCACTGAATCTTGAAACAGAACTCCAAATCTTAAAACATTATTTTGAAACAGAACTCTATATGATTTGATTTAATTGCCTCATCTCACCTATCCACAGAGAAAATAGTTGTGCCGCAGAATGGCTGGCCGCTTGCCAGCTTTGGAATTTCGGTTTCAAAAATCAGGGCACTGAAAATTGACCCTCAACTGTATATGCTTAACTTAGAACAAGCTGCATGTATGTTAAAAGATGAATAAGTCACGTTCCATCAAACTAAAATTAGTGAAAACAACTTCTCAAAGAGAGGTCTATCTCACTGGATCTTCAATTCTCAAAAAGCTCCTGATGAGATGCAAAATACGTACCATCAATTTCATATTTCTCAGTATCTTTGACGGCCTTCAGAGCACTTGAACTTTCAGCAAAATGGACGAATCCAAAATCCCGTTTTCCTTGGCCACCTTTTCCAGGTGGCATAACCACTTTTGTTACTTCAAATTTCACATTTCAAATAATGAGGGCAGCTGCCTATTATATGAGAGCATCTCACGTTGCTTGAGATAGGAGTAGCAATGTATACTCGGTCATTTCTTTAATATTGCAAATAAAAAACAAATATGGCCGAACAATGTAATATAAAAAATATATATATACTCACGTTTTAATGATGCATATCCAACTTATCCCATAACTAGCATTTAGAGTACTTCACCCCAAAAAAAAAACCCAAATTTAAAGCATGGCATGAAAAAGTGCAAGAACTTGTAAATTTTGGTGAAATACAAGTGTCCTTACAGCAATCAGAAGATCAGCAGTTGCAGAAAGAGATATGACCCCTCTTTGACAACCTTACAAATTAAGGTTAATACAAATTAACATATATGTAAAGTAAAGAGGTTAAGGAGCACCGTAATCTTGCTGTGGTTCTTTTTTTGTGTTTGACCATTTATCATCAATATATTTTTTGATGAAGTAGAAGAACTTCAATTAGAAACCGAGGTGTTTCTTTA